CGTTGCGTTTGCTGACGAGTAATTTTCCTGTCTTGTACGTCACTACAAACAATACTGGTTGTACTCAATATCAGAGATGATATAACGTGGTCTATTTACATTAAATATATTCGTTACATTGCACAGGGGCAATCGCGGTCCTTACAGCCGCGTCCAATCGGAGCATAAGAAATAAGCTGCGGAGAATGAGCGGATGACGTTGCATATTATGCGATGATAAATAACATAGAGAGGAAGCGACAACATCCAGAAAGTGCACCAATATATATATGATACAATGCAACAAGCTCAACAGGAAGGGATTGCATGGTGCAATAATTTGTCAAGCATCTACAAGGAGATCATTCCTCAGGTCTATTCGCCATAGAGACATGCAAATACAACTCACCTCGTCCATCTCGTCCAATTGCTTGAATGTGTTGGAATAAATATCTAGTACTTGAGGATGGAGCTCGTTGGTATCAATTTGTTTGCCGAAAAGCAACTCATCCACCGAATCCTGCGGTAGTGACTGAGCAGGGATGTTTTCCGATGCCGTCAAATCAATCAACGCCATCATATACGACAGTCCGAAGTCGTCCCGTGGCAAAACTAAGGGGGAGGAGCGTGTCTGCTCAGGTGACGGCTGCAAGCGAGCAGCCGGTGGGGTGGGCGTGTTGGGAGTCGCTGTCCGATACACGGACACGTCCGACAGCGCGGAGTTCTGTCTGACATGGGGAGGCGCCTTCCATTGACTGGCGTTAGGGGTGATACTGCGAGTGCCGGAGTGAGTGTCAGACTCTCCCGAGCTTGCTGTGCGGTAACTGGAAAGGCGTGAGATGGGAGATGGGGTATGCTGAATAGCATTTGTAGCCGCCGACGAAGATCTACCGTGCGAGGGCTGGGCGATAGGCGTCGCCGTCCGCGACCCACTCTTTTCGACACTGGCATCTGTTGTTGAATAAACTGAAGGCGATGTTGACAAGGCCGAGCTGAGCGAGTCGGTAGCAGCACCCGACGTAAATTCCGCCACGGGAGTGCGGCCAGCGCCCTTCTCGTGCTTAATCTTGCTCAACACGCGTTCAAGCTTGGCCCCAAGCCCGTCCTTTCCTCGAGCAAGGACACCATGTAGCAGATCATCAGCATTGCTGTTCGTCCTTGAGCCCATCGGCCCAACTTCACTGCGCCATTCCTCCTCCACGATCTCGCTAATATCGTACGTCTCACCATCAGGCTCGACGTAAGAGTAGCGCATCCTGTCGTCAAGCTCATATCTGGAGCTACGGATCAAGGCATTACCAGGAAGGAGGACATCGAGGCCACGAGCGGAATTGGGTTGCGCGGACAGGATAGCCCGCTGACTTGCACGAGTGGCCGCGCGCTGCGCAGCGATGATGGCTTGCTTTGAAGTCTGAGACGTCTGTGACCTCGCATCCTCAGAAGGGCCCGCCGTAGAATCCGAAGCAACACTCGAGCTTGCTACAGAGTCACGGTGCAGATGCTGCAGCGCAATCTCATCCAACGGTGCAGAAAGCCTGTGGCGCGAGGTTGACGTGCGGTATGCAACTGCACGACGCAAAATGAAGATGGGATCGTCCGGTTGGACGTCATCCATATTGCCCAGTAAAAGCTGAGCGGAGTCAATCGACCGTCGTTTGCCACCGGATTGCCGCTCAACAGCGCGGTAAGCGGGCGGACGAGGGAAGGCCTCGATGACTTTGCTCGACGGCGACAGCTCGCGCTCTGTCGGAGTCCGTCAGTTCGCATTCGCACCATACACCGTACAAGAACAACACCAACCTTTACTCCCGGAATTGATCGCAAGTCCATATCTCACTCGAGAGGAACTTCTGCGCTTGTTGAGCTTGTCTTCAATCTCATCTCCGCCATCAACTACCCCATCAAGGATGCCGAATCGTTCCAAGCCCAGTTCGATCACCTCGGCTACTGTCACATTTTTCGGGAACACGAAGACCTTCTTCCGCATCGCCTGTGAGATGCCCGATGACACCATGATGCCAGCTTGTGGCCGGTCGCGCAGGGTATCCTTGAAGACAATGGCCTCAGTAAGAGGGTCAAATACCATGTCGTCGGGCAGGTCGTCGGGGTATATAACGAGCTGCAGCGCAAACCTGTACGACGGCGAGCTAAATCGCTCCGTGACGCCCGAAGCACCATTGCCAACACTGAGGTACTGCAACCTTGGAGAGCTCAGGCTGCCCTCCTCCTCTCGGGGACTCTCCGTGAGCACCGAGTCGCTAGTCTCTCCATCGGCATGCTCATCATCGTGACCCTTCCTGTTGAGGTAGAATTTGACCGCAGAATCATCCGTGAAATCGTTCATCGGCAGCTTCTTAATCGCCGGGTGCATGGACAAGTTGCTCGCCACAGAGCTGATACTGCCCACGCTACTCCGCTTCACCTTTGGCAGTTCCAGCGCAGCCTCCACGAGGGACTCAAATACGCCAAGCGGCTTCTCGTGGGGGAGCAACGTCGCAGAAGAGCCTTCCACCTGCTTGATGGTGAGATAATATCCTGATTCTTCCTCACCTGCCGGCAACCTAAAGCGCTGGATGGCCTGGCGCACGAGGTCGGACGCAGTCGTGGACGCGTTGAGCAGGACAGTCTTGAACGTGGCCTCCGTTTGCAGGTTTTCCCCCGCGAAGACGCGAACCACACTCAGGTCAGGCAACATACCAACACCTTGCCCGTCGACCGTAGAGGGTGACAACACGAGGGAGCCAGGGCGAGCGCGTGAGCCACTCACGACCAAACCAGAAGCTGTGCTCACAGATGAGGCGAAGGAATTTGAGCCGGGAAGCACTGCAGAGGCTGATTGCAATCCATATGACGGCTGCGCATCGGGTGGGCTCGACGGAGAGCGATTGAGATACTGCTGATAGAGCGCCTGCTGCTGCTGGTCGCGCTGCCGCAGCTGTGATGCATGCTGTGAGATCTGCACCATAGCGGCCTGGGGTGGAGGCTTCGGTCCCTGCTGCTCAGACGACTGCGAGCGACGAAGCTGGCTGTCCTCCGAGGCACGGTAGCCATTCTGCTGCTGCCTCGCAATCGCGGTGACTGGTGACGAAGGCTCTACCGGCACAGACGAGACCGCATTGTTTTCCCTGAGAGATTTGCCAGACTCCTCCGACTCGCGCGCATAGTCCTTGTCGATGCTGCCGCCGCTTGTGCCACTTGAGCTGTCGGCGCTCTTATCCTTGCCCTTATCCTTGTCTTTCTTCCGCCCGAAGATACTGCCAAATACACTCCCACCCTTCTTCTTCTTGTCCTTCTCCTTTCCGCCCTCGTCATCTGCAGTTGAATCGCGCTCCTTGCGCAGCTTGGCTCCACCACTCGATCTGCTCCCGGAAGAGGATACAGGCGCAGCCTTCACTCCTGTGCTGACATTCGCCCGTTTGCGAGCCGCGTCCTCCTGTGCCTCCTGTTCTTCACGACTGCGTTTTCGCTCATCAGATTGCCGGCGGACAATGGTGACAAACCCATTGCTTGACGATGACGACTGCTGTGATAGTTGTGAGCCAGGCTCATCGACCCGAGCTACAGGAGGGGTCATCGAGATCTTGCGCGTCTCAGTGACTTGAGCAGGATCCAACGGGCGCGACGGCGATGTGGATACTACGTCCACCACGGTGAACTCCTCCCGCGAGGACTGCTGCTGTACTGCTTTGGCTTGCAATTCTCGTTCCCGCTGCTCTTGCTGCCGTTGTGCGAGCTGCTCCTGCTGTAGGCGCTGACGCTCCGCTTCGGCGGCCGCAGCTAAGCGAACGCGTTCCTTTGCCTGCATCTCTTCTACAGCACCCTCCTCCCAGCTCATTCCATCATCAGGCTCCATAGACATGAGACCTGGTGCACCGTCGTCCTGCCCCGCACGCTCGCGCTCCTCCGACTCCTCCGCCAGTTCAGGGTCCTCGTCCTCGTATCCCTCATCATCCCACTCGACGTCCTCATCCTCATCCTCTTCATCTCCCCAAACGGCTGGTGGATAGCGGTGAACTGAGAACGATGGCGTGAATACGACACTTTTGGCTTGACGCGATCGCGTACGCGCGTTGGTGGCAGGCGAGGGCGTATCATGACTGTCACGCGAAGAGTCAAGGGTCTCCTCCTTCTCAGCCTTCTCAGCTTGAGTCGCAGAGGCCAGCTACATTATGTTAGCGGAGCCAATGACACTAAGTATACACAGCGCCACATACATCTACATTGCGGTGCTTGTTCAGCCTGGCCAGACGCTCAAAGGGCGTCTCGATGTTTTCAGCCGGGATATAGCCTACCTCCTGGGTCTTGAGGACACGCACAAGCCACCAGTAGCTGTTGCTGTCGTCCATCAGAAAGAGACTGTCTCCCTTTACGACGTTCGCCTGGCCCTCGACGGTGGCTGCGAAACTGTGCAATGCGTAGACCAGATCAAAGTCAATAGATTCGTTCGGTATTGAGAGCGACGAGGAGCCGTCATCGTCGTCCATGTAGTCCCCATCGTGGTCCTCAGTGTCAGAGTCGTCCTCAAGGACAGAATGTTCCTCGTCGGAGTAGACGTGGTCCATGACCTGGCTGTTGTGATCATCTGCAAGTATTTGATCGCGCAGGTCGAACGTGTCCTGCCTGGCAACAGAGGGCCTGGCAGCTTGCATGGTAGGTCGCTATAGAATTTGCCAGCGATGCAGTCCAGCGACACAGTCTAGCTGCGGGAAATGAACGAAGAAGGGCGGGAAAACCAGAAGTTGCAACGAGCGCAGTATGAAGTGATCGTATGTTCCAGGCGGTTTCAGATGAGGGAATCCGACGACTAGACGGTCGGAAACGAGTGTCCTGTCGACGCGCAGGGTGCGCAGAACGACGGTGGTGAAGACGGGGACGGGGAAGGATACAGGACACAGGACAGCGGACTAGCCGTGTTACCTGCAGGCGCCCAAATATAACCCATGCCACGTGGTGATGGTAACTGCCAACTTGTGACCCCGCACTCATGCGCTGCAATATATATATTAATACCCAACTATAGCAATAAACGAAGATTGATGCCATTGTATCCGTAGGTTTTAGTCCAGTTGCACATCAGGGAACAACTCTTGCCGCGCCCGATCCGCCTCAGCTTCATCCTCCTCGGCAGCACCCTGCACCGGAACATGCGCTACCTCATCTACCACCAATTCCTCACCATCCACTACCTTCTCCTCCTCCGCGACTTCCTCGACTGCCTCGACAACCTCTGCTGGCTTTTCAGCCGCTTCAGGTGTGTAGATTGGCTGCTCAACCGTACTGAATATCTTCTCTTCTTTTACTATATCTTCCACTCCATCCACCGCTTTGCTCTTCAACTCTTCATGTGGTACGCCCGCGAAGATGTCCCGGCCAGGCTCGGCTTGCCCGACGTTGATCGTTGTATGTTCGGCTTCGTCGTCCTCTTGATTTTCCGGCCGGAAATTTGGTAGGAGCTTGTCTGGAAGCACGCGCGACTTGCCGCGCTGTGGGACGTCTTCTGACGGCGTAGGCGAAGCCGGAATCGCAGCAGTGTATTGGGAGTACTGGCAAAGGGAGAGCGGTCAAGACAGCAGGTCATACCTCACGCAACACTTACATCCTCATAGAATTCTCCGCTGTATCATTAAATTGTCAGAGATGGTTAAAGAATAAGTTTGTGCTGCTTACCAGGCAAAATCCCACGTCTTCAACCACCTCGCATTCTCGCACTTCGCCTTCGTCCACGGGTCCCCGTAGGCAATCGGGCTCAAGTATACGAAATTCCATATCACGATGATGAGCAACACGCCAGCGATCTGAAGGCGCAGCCTCGGCTTGAGCGCGGACGTGACGAGGTCGAATACGGAGCACGAGAGGAGGATCGCAAAGTAGAGCGCGGGGAAGTAGTGGTGCAGGAACAACTGACGGCCCATTAAGAAGAACGGGAAATAGTGCAGACACCACCCGATGAAGAGGAATCCGCACAGCGTGTCGTACTTGACCACTTTCGCTGAAGACGAATATGTCAGTGCCCGAAGCGGCGCGCGAGAATGACGGCTTACTGTTCTCAAAGTCCCTGTACCCGCGCTTGGCGCGCAAGATGAGGAATCCGCGGATGGCGACGTATGCGACGACAGCAGCGGTGCTAAGCCACCATACCATCGGGTTGCCGAGCAAATAAATCTGACGGTGGTCCCGGACCCAGAAGTTCTAATGCATATTTGGTTAATAGAGGACGGCACCGTTGAGTAAAGACATACAATGCCACGAAGCAGCCGTGGCCAAGACTCAGGACGTGAATCGAACGTGTGCCTGTCTGTAAGACCTGCATTCGTAGTCCACATCACCTGCTGCAACTCAAGGAACTTGGAGAAGAACCCAGGTAGCTTGTAGTTGACCTTCGGCGCATCAAGGGGCACTGTGACAGCACCGATCATGAGTCAAGTTCACAGATATGAGCTACCCGGAACACTGACGCAATGGGTGTGTCGCTGTCTCGATAAACCACAACGAATTCGGCTTCACCGCCGCCTTATTGCACGTCACCTCCTGCTGGTCGAATCCCCATTCGGGCAGCTTGACCTTATGCGAGAACAAATAGCACCCCGTATTCGCATGCCTCAGCCTAAATTGCGTCCGAAGCGTCCTCAGGCGCTTGCTCGACTCCCGATCGCGCTTGTCGCCCTTCTCGATCTCGACGATCCAGTCATCGTTCGCGTCGCCCTCAAAGTCCGGACCACCATACGCGGACACCTCGTTCTGGAAGTCGACCTCAGACACGGGCGGACGGTAGTCGTGCGAGTGGAGGTTGCGCTCGGTGGTGACGTGGCGCAACTTGATGCGCATGCCCGGCTCGATGAACGTGAGCGGGCCTTTCTCCCAGTCATGGAAGGGGTCGCCCTCTTGTGTCGCGTTCAGGATGCGCCAGTTGTTGTTTTCATCGCGATGTGGGTACAAGGTAATCTGCTGTTCTGTTGGACAAGCCAGTCTTCAGAAGATGAAAGATGATCGACATGCATTGGCTTACGAGTGCTCCCGCTGGGATAATTGTGCGGATGCGAGTGGAGATACCCTCCTTGAGTATTGACATGCCGTATGGAAACCTCCGAACCGAGCGCAATATCTACGGTATGCACCAATGAGGTTTAACCGACACAATTACCTCAAACTGCTCTTACCAGCGAATGTATCGGCCATCCCACGGCCATTGAGCGTGTGTTGAAACTCCGAGCTCATGAAGCCATCTCCATCGCCGGGATTCTGCAAGATGAGGAAATGGATCCAGAACATGAACATGTAGAACATGATCGGAATGACGATGAGACACATCGCTCTCGCCATAAAGTGTCTCATAAATACTCTCGGTGTGACACGCAGATCCCCCAATAGTAGCCACAACTGTTTGATAGTGCTCACGCCGACCGTCGCAATCGTGAACAGCCCAACCCACTTGCAGCTGACGACCGCACCGAGCGAGAAGCCTGACAAGACGAGCCACGTCCACCACATCTCGGTGAACGGCTCGTGCTTGTCCTCGTTGCAGAATCCCGTCCAAAAGAAGATCGTGAGGGCGGTGAAGAAGATAAGCGGCGAGTCGAGCAGGATATGTCGGGACTGAGTGATCATGCCGTTCTCGAAAGTAATGAAGAGCGAGGCGAGAAGGGCGGTCGTCGCACGGCAGTCAAGAGCTCGCAGGGTGAGATAGGCAAGGGGGACGGTGGCCACACCCAGTGTTGCTGGGACTAGCCGCATGGCGACGTATGGCACATTGTCGTATATTCTGTTCGCGTCAGATTCAAACTCATGTTATATAGACCATTTGGGATGCTCACTTGCCGATGTCCTTGAAGTCAAAGTGACCGTCATATCCGAAGACAAAAGCAGCAAAAGTGATCAGCAGTTTGGCAAGTGGCGGGTGGACATCTACGAAGTACTCGGACTTGATGTACTTGGATGCAAACTTGCCAAAGTGAACCTCGTCAAACCTGTGTGTAGAGACGTGTCAAGAACACAAAATGGAATCACAGAAATCAACTCACACAACGCTGTCCGGCTGCGTTATACGAAACAGCCGCACGAGTACAGCCACAACCGTGATCAAGATGAGGAGCTTCCACTCTGCGGCCGCGATATTCAGCCCTCCTGGAACATACGTTTTGCGACCCGGAAGGTAACCTCTAGACGCTGCATCCTTCCGAGCATCAGCATCGAGGTAGTCATGGCGAGGATGGGGAAATCTCTGAGGAGCAGCGTGAGGAGGAGCAGACGCAGGCGGCGGTGGTGAAGGTGGCCTCCTGACCCTGACACCACCAGACATGGCGAGCAAAGAGACTACAAGAGGATATTAAAAGCTCACACGCTCGGAGAAATACAGTGGAAGGAGAGACAGTTGCGAAGGTGCGCAGCGCCGCAGTCGGTGGACGCGACGTGGAACGTGCACTGCTGATCATGATCACATACATTCGACGCTTACCGTGAGAAACATGCAATATACGAATTGACGCGTCTAAATACTTAGTACCGACTCCCAACCGCATCCCGCTCACGACTCAAAATGTCTATGAATATATTCGGTGCAGAGGTAGCGTTCTACGAATTTTATTGCAGAGGCAGGACTGACGAGTACGACAGGCGACAGAGGAAAAAGCAGAGAATGCCCGTCTATCGTCCTTCGTCGGCGCGCTCGCGCTTGGCGACCTCGTCAAGTCCACCCTCGGGCCCAAAGGCATGAACAAGATCCTCCAATCCGCGTCTACGGGCGAGGTCAACGTCACCAATGACGGTGCAACCATCCTCAAAGCGATCCAGCTCGACAATGCCGCCGCCAAGATCCTCGTCAACATCTCCAAAGTTCAGGACGACGAGGTCGGGGACGGCACGACAACCGTCTGCGTGCTCGCCGCTGAGCTGCTAAGAGAAGCGGAAAAGCTCATCGCGATGAAGATTCATCCGCAGACGATTGTCGAGGGTTACCGCATTGCAAGTGATGCAGCGCTCAAGGCGTTGGAGAAGGCTGCTGTAGACCACAGGTCAGTCTCTGCTTATGTTTGATACAATCTGCCGCGCATTTTTGCCTGGGGCTTGTGTCTTTCCGCGTGGCTGCCAATCGCGAGGCTCAACAAGGACTTTTCTCGCTTCCGCCCGCTCGCGTCAGGCCTGAGGAGCTGAAGGGCGAGCGCGTTGTTCAAAAGGGCCCGATGGGTGGCGAGTACGCGTGCTCAATCTCGAGTGCGAGACAAGCATATATGCGCGGCAAGCAGAGGTTAAGCGCTAGGTTGTCTGAGTTGCCCAGAAACATGTCGGGTTGTTCAAGGTCGAGAAGATTACTTTGGAGAACGGTCTTGACGCGAGACGAACAGCGGATACCATTCGCGTACCTGATGGCTGTCACTTGTACCTCATCGGTGTGCGAGGGCAGGACGAATGATTTTGTGGTCCATTTATTCCCTCATACACTAATCATTCCGTGGACAATGAGGCTCATCTGGAGTTGACGACAGTGCGGATCTAACACAATTCAGAGAAGACCTGTTCAACATTGCACGGACTACACTGTCATCAAAAGTCCTCTCTCAGGACAAGGACTACTTTGCCAATCTTGCAGTCGATGCCGTACTCAGATTAAAGGTGCGAACGACGCATGACAAGCAGTGGACTTCTGATCACGCCTGCGAGTAGGGTTCCACGGACCTTGACCACATTCAGGTCATCAAGAAGGTCGGCGAAAAGCTCACAGACTCCTACCTCGACGAGGGTGAGATAGGATCCCACTCGAAGTCATCTCCCTTCTCACACACATAACTCAGGCTTCATCCTGGACAAGACGATCGGCATCAATTGTCCAAAACGTCTTGAGAACGCGAAGATTCTCATCGCGAACACCTGTGAGTACTCTCCCGGCGGTACCGCGCTGAAGTCGTGAGAAGCTGACGATATGTCCAGCGATGGACACTGATAAAATTAAGATCTTCGGCGCGCGTGTCAAGGTGGACAGCACAGGGAAGCTCGCGGAACTCGAGCGTGCAGAACGGGTATGGATGTCTCTGCACGATTTTCTGCCATCCAAGGCTCATTGCCTACGTGAATGCAGGAAAAGATGAAGGCGAAGGTCGAGGCGATTGCTGCGCACGGCATCAACTGCTTTGTGAACCGGCAGCTCATCTACAACTACCCCGAGTCGCTGCTCGCAGACAAGGGCATCGTCACGATCGAGCATGCCGACTTTGAGGGCGTCGAGCGATTATCGCTCGTCACTGGCGGAGAGATCGCGAGCACGTTCGATGCGCCGGAGAAAGTGAAGCTTGGGCATTGTGAACTGATTGAGGAGATCATGATCGGCGAGGACAAGGTAGGCCCTCGTGCGTTATATCTGACGGCCCGCAGAACTGAACAAACTACAGCTCATCAAATTCTCCGGCGTTGCAGCGGGCGAGGCATGTACGGTCGTGCTGCGCGGCTCGACTTCGCAAATGGTCGACGAGGCGGAGCGCTCGCTGCACGACGCGCTGTCCGTGCTCTCGCAGACGGTGAAGGAGACACGGGTCGTGCTCGGCGGTGGGTGTTCGGAGATGCTAATGAGTTGTGCAGTCGACGAGGAGGCGCGGAGGATCACGGGGAAGAAGGCGATCGCGGTGGAGGCATTCAGCAGGGCGTTGCGGCAGATACCGACCATCCTCGCGGACAATGCAGGATTCGACTCGTCGGACCTTGTGTCGAAGCTGCGGGCGGCGCATTATGACGGACAGACGGATGCCGGGCTCGGTGAGAGCTGATCACACGACAGAAATCTGCATGCACTAACGATCGCGACAGACATGAACGAAGGCAAGATCGCGTCGATGAATACGCTTGGCGTGACGGAGAGCTATAAGCTGAAGCGGCAGGTGGTGCTGAGCGCGAGCGAGGCTGCAGAGATGATTCTCCGGTGAGTCAGGGCGCGCTATCAGTCCGTAGGCTTATCTCACAGGTTGCTCAGCGTCGACGACATTTTGCGTGCAACGCCACGGAAGCGGGAGGCGGCATAGATGTGGAGAAACGGCTTGCGATGGACGCAGTGTTTTGGGTGTATGAGATGGAACGAAACTGTAGACTATCCTTGCCCGTCGTGCTTGATGGGCCACTTAGTTGCTATAAACTCTGCTCGACTTCCAAGTCCGCGACGATGCCGGTGTGTATGGAATTTTCTACCGGTAGTATGTATGGACGACGATGAGCTGAGGCCAACTCGCATATTCGGCTCGGTTCGCGTATCGAGCCCTCTGCTATTTGTGACTTCTGAATTAATGGCTGGTTGATGTGCATCACATTCAATGCGGATTTTGTCCATCCGAGTGTTGCTTCTGTGCCAGCACAACGCTGCAAGCTCCACCCTGTGAGATGTAGTCTGAGTATTGCTACAAGATGGGCTTCATTGAACGCGATGCATTGTAATGGAAAATATACATATCGACTTTGCTAAGACTCGTTGGTTCAGTTCGCCCTCGGCGCTAGCACATCCTCGCACAGCTCCTCGATTCGGTCACCTTTCACTCCAGAACTTGGTTGTCTCGCGCTCCTTCATGCCATGTATATACCTTGCGTTTCCCATTGCGTCTGGCGTGAGCCACGGTATTTTGGCAAAAGATAGCATTAGCATGACTAGTTCGTTCAGTCGATTCGCGAGCCGACGCGCCAAGTTTACGCGACGGAAAATGCCTGGTTCGGCTCGCGCACATTACCCTATCGGCTACATATAACAAATTGTGATTTGAGACCTGCCAAGGCGGCTCTGTTGTGAGCGGGTGATCTGCGTAATGATCTAGCAGCGAGGGCAGACGCTGTGATAGCGGGAAGACACGTCGAGGCAACATGTATATCACCACTGGAGCTCGTGGGGCACCTGAGCCCCTCCTCCCCGCACTCCCTCCTTGACGCTACACCTACCACCTCGATTATCCTTTTCGCCTTTGACAAACGAAAGCTGGATACCGCCATGGTCGTGCAGCACGCCCCCACGTCGCAGACGACGCCTGCATCGCTCCCGCCATCCGTGTTCACGCTGCCGCAGACAGCGCAGCTCGAGGCGCTGTACACGATCATCCGCGACAAGACCACGAGCCGCGGCGACTTTCTGTTCTACTCGGACCGCATCATTCGGCTGCTCGTCGAGGAGGGCCTTAACCACCTCCCGGTCGTGCCAAAGACCGTGGAGACGCCGACGGTGAGTGTCGTGTGGTGTCGTGTGCCTGTGGCTTGGGAGGGCGCTGATGGTGGGGTAGGGCGAGACGTATGAGGGGGTCGGCTTCGAAGGACATATTTGTGGGGTGTCGATCTTGCGGGCGGGGGAGGTGCGTGTATGCATGATCTCTGGGCGATCGTCACTACTCATACAGGAGTATAGGCCATGGAGGCTGGTCTGCGGGAGGTTTGCAGGAGTGTGCGGATCGGAAAGATCCTGATTCAAAGAGTACGTATTTTCACAATTGTGCACCAATTTGTCTCATAACGCTGTTCTGTTCGCGGTCCACAGGATGAGGAGACGGCTCAGCCGAAGCTCTTCTATTCCAAGGTAAGAATGCTTGCTCGTCTTATGAGGAATACTGATTTGATGTTGCGTACTACTTAGCTGCCGCCAGATATCGCAAACCGATATGTGCTGCTGCTCGATCCCATGCTGGGTATGTTCGCGCCGTGTACCTCCACAACCTGCCCTTGATTCACGTATTACTGCCAAGCCACCGGTGGATCTGCCATGAAGGCAGTGGAAGTGATCATGGAACACGGCGTCCCCGAAGAGCGCATCATCTTCATCAACCTGGTGCGTCGGCGCACCCTACGAGTAGCTTGTTTCTGATGCGCTTCGACGCTGACGTATTGTCCTAATATAGATTTCATCTCCGGAGGGCCTCAAGACCTTCTGCACGAAATACCCCGCCCTACGTGTGGTGCGTAGCGCTGGCTTCCGCCTTGTTATGCACACATCTCTGACATGCTGGCACACTCATAGATCACCGGATGGATTGACAAGGGCCTGAACGAGAAGTCGTACATTATCCCAGGTCTTGGCGACTTTGGTGAAAGAAGGTCGGTCGATCGCGCTCGCACGACGATCTCGCACTCAATTACACACGTCATCTCCAGGTATTGTGTGTAAGCGTGAACAAGAGTTAGGAGGTGCATATCCAACTGAGTTGATTGCCGCTCATTGTACATTGGGGTGATACTGTCGAGAATACGGACCCGGGCGTACCACGGCCGCTTCTATAGACTGTATCCTCCATGGGGCCGCGAGCATAAGCTGTTTACGCTGGGAGTTACTATGTGTTCTCGCCATGAATTCAATGACAAACTGTATGTGAATCTTTCGGCGGATGGTGTGAAAACTTGAAGGCAGAAGGCGCGAAGGCGCGTTCCTCAAGCGCCGACCTCGAGTCGACACAATATATTTTACTCTCAGGTCACGGCGCACACAGGCGCACCTTCCCTCCTCCCTCCTCCCATCCAGTCCGCCCGTCCTATCTGAATTATTTATCTCGTCTCTCCCTGTCCTTGTTCGTCTTGAACCTTGTTTTCTCTTTCTCTGCCACCATGTCGCTCGGTACCGCGCAGCCCACCCCCGTCCCGTCACGCCGCCGCCGACACTCGGGCGCAAACGCCATCGAGGTCCTCAAGCGGCCAGTACTCTCCGCGCCGCCGCCACGTCCCAAGTCGACGCCGCCGACTGAGCGCAAGCAGCGCCGGCGGCAGGAGGCTGGGGCAGAGGCCGCGGAAAAGGAAGATATGCAAATTGACGCGGAGTCGGACAGTGGGTCCTCGTCCGCCCCTGAGTCGCCCCTCGACCCACCGCCACACGCACCTGCACCACCCGCCGCAGACCGCCCGACGCGTCCCTTGCCGCGAAAGACGATGATGAACGCCGCGTCGAACAACCCGCTTTACCAAAAGGCCAACCCGCACATGCTGCCCGTGCAGGCGCACGTCCCGAGGGGCGGCGTCGCATCGAACCAGAGGCGGCTCTTTGTGATTCTGGAGCAGGCGTGCTTGGAGGCGTATAGGGTTAGCAGTGCGGGGAAGGGGAAGAACGGGAGGGAGGGCGATGTGAAGTATGCCTTGTTGAATTGCGACGATCATCAGGGCATTCTTGCAAAGACTGGGAGAGACATTGCCGATGCGAGGCCGGATATCACTCATCAGGTACGTTCTTAGCCTTCCTTCCAATGACCCGCTGACTGGGTTTCGGTTGCAGTGTCTGCTGACGCTGCTGGACTCGCCCCTCAACAAGGCGGGGCTGCTCCAAGTGTACATCCACACCGCAAAAGGTGTCCTCATCGAGGTCAATCCTCACGTGAGGATCCCACGGACGTTCAAGCGATTCAGTGGGCTGATGGGTGCGTAGTCATCGGCGCAGTTACTGCTCCGATAATCACTGATTCGATGCTTCTTGCTCCGTCAGTCCAACTGCTCCATAAACTATCTATCCGGGGGGTCAACGGTCCGGAGAAGCTGTTGAAGGTCATCAAGGTATGTATTGAACTCTCTTTTATCCCCTCACGTCGACTAAGATGTGCTATAGAACCCAGTGACAGATCACTTGCCAGCGAATACGGTCAAACTGAGTACGTCAAACGGCCCCACGCACGGTTTTGCTGCTGATTTCTGGGCACTCTAGCTCTCTCCGGTGATGCGCCAACAGTGCGGCTGTCAAGGTACCTGCCCACGCTCCCGGAGACGCACTCGATCGCAGTCTTTGTCGGTGCGATGGCTCGGGGCAGGGATGACTTTGCTGACGGCATTGTCGACGAGAAAATTAGTATCAGTGACTTCCCACTCAGCGCGTCAGTAGCGTGCGGCAAGGTGGGTCTCTACGCACAGTATATCGCTATTTGATGATTCAATTATGCGGTTGTAGTTCTGCTGTGCGCTGGAAGAAATGTGGGATATTGTTTAGGTCGGGCGCTCGTTCTACCCTCTGCTTGGGTAGATTGGGATTGTTTTCATGCTTTCATTCATCTCTGCTCTTTTATGTTGTATCTGCTCATCTCACACTCATACGCATCCTGACCTTGCATTTCAACCTGCGCATCATCCTCACACACACATTACCCCCATCCAACTTCCGTCCGTCGTTCACGCGAGCTGGTGCTAGCTGTAGTAATCCGCGATGCTGGGCATGTCCTCCGCTGGCTGCGACTCAACTTGCAGTCGGGCGTGCCCCGATGTATGTAGCTAATGACACGAAAATCCAATGCATGTTTGTTTTCTGCAATGAACATGGCAGTGCCTGATAGTGAAATGATGGATCAGCTATAGCAGCTGCCTTTTTCGGCGCTCTCCACATTCCACTCCTCCACCAGCTCACCGTCCGTGACGAAGCACTCGCCCGCCCTCTTTTGCTCTGAATATTCCGCACACAACACCATGGACTATCTCCAGCAAGCCAGCGCGAGCCCAATGCCAGAGGGCGTCACCGACCCAAACTACCATCCGCTCCCGGGCCGCCTGGGTAACCTCACCCCTGCCCAGCAGCACGCCCTCAACAAGCTACGCAAGGAGATGCAAGACGAGGGACTCTTCGTGCCCGAGCGCATGGACGACGCGACGCTCCTCAGGTGAGCTGCACGCACCCGTCTGGCGCACACGCACGCGAAACTTACCGTCGTGCCTGCTCTCTGCTGGGCCGTGCCATCGGTATGCTGACGCCCGTCCCCGCTCGCAGGTTCCTGCGGGCCCGGAGATTCGACGTGGAGAAGGCAAAGGCGATGCTCATTTCGTGCGAGCAGTGGAGGAAGGAGTTTGGCATCGAGGAGCTCATGCAGTGAGTCGTGCGGTAGGCCGCTTGGCGTGCACGTCATGACCAATGTCCGCCTGCCAACAGGAATTTTGACTTCAAGGAGAAGGTAGAGGTGAACAAGTACTACCCACAGTACTACCACAAAATGGACAAGGTGTGCTCGCCGCCTCATGTGTAATATGCGTCGCATCCTCACCCGCCTCCTGCAGGACGGGCGGCCTGTCTACGTCGAGCAGCTCGGCAAGCTCGACATCCCCAAACTGTACTCGATCACGACGCCCGAACGACAGCTCCAGCGTCTCGTATACGAGTACGAAAAGTTCCTCAACGATCGCCTCCCCGCCTGCTCCCAGGCAGTCGGCCACCCCGTCGAGACATCCTGCACGATCCTCGATCTCCGCGGCGTCTCACTCTCGTCCTTCTACCGCGTCAAGGACTACGTCATGAAGGCCTCCAGCATCGGCCAGGATCGCTATCCAGAGTGCATGGGCAAGTTCTACATCATCAACGCCCCTTGGGCGTTCTCCGCCGTCTGGGCCATCATCAAACCTTGGCTCGACGAGGTCACCGTCTCCAAAATCGACATCATTGGCAGCTCTTATCAGGATAAGCTTCTCGCCCAGATCCCTGAAGAGAACCTGCCCAAGGAATTTGGCGGACTCTGCGATTGCCCCGGCGGGTGCTCGCTTAGCGATGCGGGGCCATGGAACCCTGCAACGTGGAACTCATCGTGAGGATGCGGCAGAGGATGACTGGGAGCTGCGTGGGGCCAGTATCTTACTGCGACGCGTGTATACCGTAATAGACCAGGACATTCTACATACATACGACTTGATTTGTGATCTACAGTTGCTAGCATGACGGCCCTTCACAATTTTGACACGCCTTACCTGCATTTCTCCCCCCCGTCGTGGCAGCTTGATCACCACGCAGTCACACAAAAATTCAGCTAGTACACCGCAATATAGACGCAATGCATTGCAGAAGCAGACATCAAAGGAAAACCGTAACGTAACGTAAGGTGAGGCATCTACACTTGCATTCATTAATCCTTCTCTCTCCTGTCATCGCCCGCCGCTTAGAAGCATTCTGCACATAGTGATCAGCGTCTTCGCTTAACCGGATAGTAGTGAAAGATACGTACTGCGGTGGACAATGCCGGGACCCGACTCGTCGTACTCCTGCTTAGAGCACCACAGGTTCTGGAAGGTGCTCAGGGAAGCCAGGATGGAACCACCGATCCAGACAGAGTACTTCCTCTCGGGAGGGGCGACAATCTTGACCTAAATACACGACCATCTCGTCAGCCATCGTTGTATAACAATGAGAAAGCATTGCTTGCCTTCATGCTCGAGGGTGCAAGAGCAGTAAGCTCTTTCTGCATACGGTCCGCAATACCCGGGAACATAGTGGTACCACCAGACAGGACAATGTTACCGTAGAGATCACGACGGATATCGAGATCACACTTGTAGATGGAGTTGTACCTGGAAAACAAAAGATCAATATCAACGCGCTGAATGAAACCTTGGGAACGTACGCAGTCTCGTGAATACCAGCTGCCTCGAGACCGAGGAACGCCGGCTGGAAGAGTGCCTCCGGAGCGCGGAATCTAATGACATCTATCAGTATCAAAATCTGCGTTCAAGCGAAACCACACTAACCGCTCATTGCCAATCGTGATGACCTGACCATCGGGCAGCTCGTAGCTCTTCTCAAGTGCAGACGAGTGCGCTGCAGTCTGAAGCTCCTGCTCGAAGTCGAGCGCGACGTAACACAGCTTCTCCTTGATGTCCCGGACAATTTCTCGCTCGGCAGTGGTGTGGAATTGGTAACCACGCTCAGTCAAGTTCTTGATCAAGAACTCGGTGAGGTCACGGCCGGCAAGATCGATACGCAGGATGGCATGCGGTAGCGAGAAACCTTCGTAGATGGGCACTGTGTGGGTGACACCATCACCGGAGTCGAGCACGATACCCGTAGTACGACCGGAGGCGTACAGCGACAGAACGGCCTGGATGGCGACGTAGAACGCTGGCGCGTTGAATGTCTCGAACATGATCTGTGTCATCTTCTCGCGATTCGCCTTGGGGTTGAGAGGCGCCTCTGTGAGGAGAATGGGATGCTCCTCGGGCGCAACACGGAGCTCGTTGTAGAAGGTATGATGCCAGATCTTCTCCATGTCATCCCAGTTGGTGACAATACCGTGCTCAATGGGGTATTTGAGGGTCAAAACACCACGCTTGGACTGAGCCTCATCACTGCAAAGGGGGAATGACACGTCATCGATGAGGGCGATTTAAACAGAACAGCGTACATACCCAACGTAGGAGTCCTTCTGGCCCATACCGACCATCACACCCTGGTGACGGGGACGGCCAACAATCGATCTGTACGAGTTACTCAGTGCCAGCTCATCCGACCCGATGAAGCGACAACGTACGGGAACACGGCACGAGGGGCATCATCGCCTGCATGACACGCTCATCAGTATTCAAGATCGACAGCTAATCTCTACTGTGCATCCATACCAGCGACTGTGAAAATTATTGTTAGTTTCGAGCAGCACTAATGACGACGTGTCGCTACTCACATCCAGCCTTGCACATGCCGGAGCCGTTGTCAATAACCTACGCGGGTGCTTTGCATGAGGGAGTGTTTAAGACAAAGCTAGCAGTGACACGTACGAGAGCAGCAACTTCATCCTCCATTTTGGCTGATTAAACGTGAGAGTAGATAACAAGTGTGGGGCGTTTCGCGAGCTGCGAGTGCAGTTTATATAGGGCGAGCGATGGGAGGCGGGGTGAGTAAGCCGGAGAGAAAGTGAGCTGACTGCGCGTTGGCGAGTAAAGATGGGACACACCTAGACGATGGAGGGAGTGGACAAGAGCGATGCACTGCGGTGATGCCCCTAGATGTCCATATCGGATCGAGCTTCAGGGCAGGCTTGGGCGGACTCTGCCGTTTCTCGACGCTCGCCGCTCTGCGAATTGCAGGCAGCCACGGAGGGCTTACGCATCGCTGCACAGCATTTGTCTCAAATTTTCGAGGAATATGCAATGCTGGCTGCACGAGTTGAAATGATTGAACGAGATCCGGCTGTGCATCACCAATCTCACGGGTGACTGTCAGTCGATGCGCTCCGCCTCTCTCAGCTGTCTGCTCAACGCAGTTCGCAGTACGTACAACTAAAATACTTTGCGCTGGGCATGCTGACCGCTGCTGCTCACTCGTGACGAACCTTCCAGATCCTTGCGGCATCACACGACGGGACTGCGGATGGCCGTTCTCTACCAGCGAATGAATTTGCTGGGCCACCCATTGCGTCGATCACGTGCGCAGCGGTGGCTTTGGACCTGGCCACTCCGATGCTTTGTCTCTTCCTCCATCCTTCTGCGTGTTCATCCCTGTCAGTGATATTCTTTGCATCTGCTGCGTTGTGCTCTATGTGCGTCGTTTTTCATAATGAACATGTTCTCGTCCCTCCAGTGTCGCACATTCTTGGTTTTGAGCAGTGCAAACTTCACCTTCGCCTTGCGTCCTGCGTCTGATTGAATCTATTCTCACCACAAATTTTCTCACGACTTGAGCTTTGTAGCTGCGTCGTGCTAATTCTGGGGCCGTGCACACCTGTTGTGGACGCATATTGCTCGGATTGCATCCACCATGTCGCAAAAGCAGTAAAGATCGTTCAGTGCCTATAATTGACGACTGAAAGCTTGACGATCGTGTGTACTACATGATCCATCATACTCTTTCCGTGTTCTCATCATGGGTCTGCGACGTATAAGATATCGTCGTCGGGAGCTTTGCTTGGTGATCGTAAAGACTTGACAGTCTCTGAATGCGCCCTGTTCACCGCATCCAATCAGTCAGACGAGTGAATCTGCACAGACGGTCTCTGCGGCGCGGGCCGCGGCTCTATTAAAGCCAGTAAGCATGCCTCTCTTTAATCCCTCAACCTGGTGGAGAATGTTCCAGCAATTTTAAGACTGTCAGTACTGTGAACCCGGACCCAAAGGCGTGGCTTTGCATTCTTTCGGGGATACCATCGATGGGTGAGGCCTTCCTGTCGCTCATGTCATTGGATCTACCAATAGTTCTGGGCTCAAAACAGGCGAGCTACACGCTAAATCTCTTTGAGGCCATTTCCAACCCTTTATCCGCATAGTTTGTCAAGGATATGATTACCAGATATCTCCCGGTCTTGAACATCTGGACAAACTGCTGGGAACCTCGAGGCTGTTGCGACCCTTATACAAGACAAACGATTTATTTGCCTTTGGGGGACCAATACTAAGAATTCCTACGCTTTCTACGCAATCATAGCTCTTCGCGAAACATCCCAGCAGCGTTCGTGCTCAGTCGACACTGGCCTCACGAGTGCGATTAGCGATGGGCGAAATGTCACGCAGAAGCTCACTTTCGCGGCATTCATGTATGCTTCATGCATCCTTGCATCGTTATGGACGACTTTAGCCTCCGCGACGAGCTTGATCGGTATCCTGCAATCTATGGGCGGCCACATTGACCCTGCCTCGTTTACGTTACCTCCCTCATAGGTGCGTGACTGCGTACGACCGCTCCCCATAACTTGACTCCGTATTTACAGTAATTGTGGTCCCGCCTCCGCGCGTCCCGCACCGCAATGTTAACAGGCATTTCCGTCGTACTGATCGCCCGCGCCATCTTAAGCATCCCGCCATATGTCAGCTGAACTGACGTGTCCGTATCCGGCTCGTCCACCGCTGGCGCTGGCCGACTGTCGATCGTGGCATACTTCTTTTGCTAGCGTTTTTGGGTGCTCGCGAGGCGGCGTGGAGGTGTCCATGGGGGAACGCGCCGGGAATGTCCTCAAGCATTTTGTCGAACTGGCTCCACGCATCGTCTCCAGCTCCGGTTGTGGCTTGAGATGCCTTCTCGTGGATTTTGGCCGTCGCGCGTGCGGCTCAGAGGGCGCAGCTTCACAGTGAACTCGACCGCGAGATCGTTCAGACTCATCGTGCCGCGTATGATGAGCACGATTCGTTTTTGGTCTTGCTAGATCAGGTGCGGCCTCACCGATGTCGGCAGTGACGACTGGCCACCGTGGCTAGGATAAATGACATTGTTCGCGAAATGGTCATCGGAGCCGAAAGAGTATGGAGTCCTGTTCTTCGACCTTGGGCATGTGCGAGCCGGTTGATGGACAGTTACCTGCAATACGTGACCCGCAACGACGTATTATGCGATGTTAGCGGGCGGTATGCAAGCGGGAACAACCAGCGAAGCGCACAGAGTAATGTCAGAGTTAGTCCGTGGGACTTGCCGAGCGGAATCAGATCACTGAGAGCTGTGGAAACGAGCGCGAAAGGTCAACGAAAACGTTTGGAGTCCGCAGACTTGTCCAGCAAGTGTATCGTGTTGTCTTCAGATATACGAACAAATTCAGCGACTGTATGACTCATCTTTAGCCTCCAAGCTCCAACGTTCAAGTTCGCTATCCAAGAAGTGAAGGCGAGTCTGCGACCGAGCGCAGTCTCAGGATGTCGCGAGTATCTCCGGTGACGAACTGACACGAGCATTCCAACAGCGGCTAGGTGACAATGCTTAAATAGATGCCTAGATTCAAGCTGGAGAGCATGTCCCAGTCGCCTCCTGCATGGAGGAGGCACGGAACCCTCTGACCGGTAATCACCGTCAGAAGCCCAGTGTCTGCCTTATTCGGCAACTTACTTTGCCTGCAGGCTAGCAGGCGGTGCGCATCGCCTCATGCCCGCTCTCTCTCCCTAACCCGCATCGTTCTACGCTCAACCGTCGACGTCTTGCTTTTTCAAACACCTCGATCTCAGTCAATCGCAATATCCAAGCTACTATGTGTATCTTCGCGCGCAAGAAAAGTAAGTTTATTTCGCCATCATCCATGCGATATCGTGATACTATTTGACTGCGCGCAGAATCCGCCATGCATCGTACCGTTCCTGCGGTCGAGACGGAAATTTGTGCTACCTCGACCCGCATCGATCGCCCGTCTGCCTTGGTTGGCCCTTATGGAGGACCCGTGCTCGTCCCAGTCACCACTGATTCATCGACTCCAGACGGCGTGGACCTGTCTTCTGCCTCGGTGGGCACAGACAGAGGGCCCGCCGTTGCTCCAGTTACTGTGGTGTCATCTGCTGTAGCCAGCATGGACCGGCTTCCTGCCAATGCTGGCATCGGTGCCTCGCCTTCTCAGATGGAACCCAATGCTACTTCGACCCGCATCAATCTCCTGTCTGCCATGGTTGACCCGAATGAAGGACCCGTGCTCGTCCCGATCACCACTGATTTGTCCACTTCACAGGGTGTGGACCTACTTTCTGTCCCGGTGGGCACAGACACAGGGCCCGACGTTGCTCCAGTTACTGTGATGTCGTCTGCTGTAGCCGGCATGGACCGGCTTCCTGCCAATGCTGGCATTGATCCCTCGCCTTCCGGGACGGAACCTGGTGCTGCTTCGACCCGCATCGATATCCCATCTGCCTTGGATGACCCGAATGGAGGACCCGCTCTCGTCCCGGTCACCACTGATTTATCTACTTCACACGGCATGGACTTGTCTCCTGCCCCGGTTGGAGCAGACATAGGGCCCGCCGTCGCTCCAATTACTATGATATCGTCTGTTGTAGCCGGCATGGACCGGCTTCCTGCCAATGCTGGTGCTGGTCTCGTGCCTTTCCCACCTAACGAGGGTTCCCCGAGTGAGGCTTCTGTGCTTGATATGGGCTTACAGGCTGCTATGGACCATGAAGGACACTTCACTGCTATGGTTGATGAAGGCCAACTGGCTTCTATGGTCAATGAAGAAGATCCTGCTGCTATGATTGATGAAGGATACTTGGCTACTACTGTGAATGAAGAACACTTGGCTGCTATGATTGATCAAGTTCATCTGACCACTATGGCTGATGAGGGACATTTGGCTGCTACGGCCAATGAAGGACACCTGTCTTCTACAGGTCACATTGCATCTCTCTCCATGGACAGTTCTTCTGCCTCAGAGTGCATTTCTACCCCTGTTGACATTGGTTCTCCACCTCCTCCAGCCAGTAAGAGATCTCTGATTAAGGCCCCTGCATTTGACCTGGGTTTTACAGCTTCTGCAGTCCATAAAGGTCTCCAGCCTGCTATAGCCAGTAATGCATCTTTGCCTGCATCATCCAGTATAGGACATTTGTTCACCCCAGTTTTCTCAGAACGTTCTATCACAGCCACTGCAGGAGAACTCCCTGCTGCAGTCAATCAGACCTTTCTGCCTGGTCCAGTGACCATAGGGCCTTTGCCTGCCCCAGCATGGACAGCCCCTTACCTGGCTCCTGAGCTTGTGCATAAGATCATGAAGAACTTGACATGGTCAGAACCACAGGCATTAGTCAATTGTGCCCTTGCTTGCAAAGCCTGGCATAAGCTCAGCAAAAAGCACCTGCCTGAGATGCTGGAGCTGAACAGTTATGTCAAATTTCATGAGCTGGCCCAAATTATTATTAGCTCAGGTCGCATAAAGGGGCCCAGCCCTATAAAATATTTAGATCTTGTTGAAGATAGTGAGAAGCCCTTTGTTCATTCTGTGCCTCACATCCTTGGCCATATTTGTAGCCACTTAAAACAGCTCAGTATCTCTAGTGTCAACTGGCATACTAGGCAACAACTTCATCCTAGCTTCTTCATTTCAGTTGCACAGTTTGCCTCTGTTACTGAATTGTGTTTGTTAGACTGTCAATTTTTCAGCATTGGCGAATTCATGCATTTTGTTTGCTCCTTTCCTAACCTTAAAACTCTGTGGTTGGACAACATTTTATGGGCTCCAGCAATTGGACACTTATTGCATATCAAACCTGCCAGCATATATGCATGCAGGGCAACACAGCTTTATTTTAAAAAACTATCAAAAAGTTCACAGTATCATGAATACTTTTATGATGATGATTTTCTGTCAGTTATCCCACACTTGTTCAAAGCTGTCACAGAGATTGAATTGCATTTTCCATTTTACAAAAGCCTTGACAAAATGCAGACTTTTTTAGGTGCTTTTCCTAAGCTTGTCAACCTAAAGCTGGGCATGATCAGATATCGGCCAAAGGATGATCAGAGCTCAGCATTATCAGTAACTCCTGATTTCATTCCTGTTGAGCCTCAGCTTCAGCTGCAAAAGTTAGTTCTTGAAAATGAGCCTGGTTCCTTGAATACAAATGCTGCCTTTGTTAATTGGCTTGTCAGAGCATTGGCCCCTCATGCTTTTAAGGAACTTCAAGTAAAGATGATGCAAGCACTTTTCAGACCTGTCAAAATGGATCACATGAATAAGATACTGAAGATCTTAGGAGGTGCCATTCAGACCTTCAAGTTAGAAGTACAGAGTGGATTTCTAGCTGGTAAGTTTGTTAGGCAGCTTAGCACTGTAAAATAAATATCTAACTAAGGTGAAATCACAGATCAACAAATAGCTCTGGCCTACTGCATCAGCTTAATCAGTCTTACACTGAGAACATGGGATAATCATCCATTAGACACTTTGTGGAACAATGTTGCAAACACTCTTTCACAGATTGCAAGCACTCAGCTTCAAATGCTTAATATGGGTTTCAAATCTGATATCAAGGATTCCACTATGCTTGAAAATTTTCTTGAGAATTTGGATAAACATAATGCAAATCTCATCAATGGGGTCATCAAGCATGAAAAGTTCTTAGAACTGAAAACAGTTTCTATAGACTTTAAACTCCCATACATTGATGATAAAGAGATGAAGGAGAACATTCAAGACAAAGTGAAAGTTCATATACAGTCTATGTTCGCTGCATGGGATGTCAGAGGCATTGTGAATGTTTCAGTTAACAGAGTTTAGCATTTGAAATGAAGCTTACAGCCATGAAGCATGTTTTTTTGTTCTACTGTCAATAAAAATGCTTATGAAAACGTTGCTATCCTGATTAATGTTTTACCTTTTGTTTGTCTTGAAATATGCCTGTTCTTCAATGTATGATTCATACCAAATGGTCTGTTTCAGAAAATGTTATGCTATGGTATGGTTTGACCACTTCTGACATTGAAGGGCTGTGTATGTTAACAAGATATACATTTAGTTTCGAGACAGATAATAAGATACTATTTTCATGGAATGGTCTATTATACAATGATTGCTTTAATGATGACAAATTACCATCAATGCCAACGACGCACGCTCATAGAGCTGCCTCAAAGAGCATCTTCCTCGGCTTGTTGATCTGAGGAGCCGGGGTAACGAGGGCAGGCCTGCACGTCGTTTAATACCCTTCACAACATGACAAAATAAGCCAACACTCACATCGACGTACCAGTCATTGCAGCCGGATTGCCCATGATGATGCTTTCCGATACACCGGATATGCTATCAGTCTTTCCGCAGGCAGATGCGTCAAACAGGTGATCGGTCGTTTTCTCGAAGGATGCCAGCATTAGCACGCTGTCTTTCATCTTGGCGACACCAAATCGAGTGATTCCGAGAACCTCGCCCTACAAAAACCATCAGCCGATTAAGGCTGCCTCGTACGTGCGCCCACTCACCTTGTACGACATGAGGTCGCCGAGCAGCATGACATGGCGAGGATCAATGCTCATACCATGACTCTGCATGGTATACTGAATCTCGTTGATGATCGTGCGGCGTGCCGCTTCAATACCGAGCACTTGCGCCACCTCAATGATATGGTTCGAGGTTGTCTGCTCTCCGACAATACCTAGAGGAGTATGTAATGAGCCGTGGCAACGACAGCGCGAGCTGACTTTACTGACCTTGGGTGACCATTACCTTTTGCAGACCGTAACCTTCTACAAGCAGCTCCTTGTCGCCCTTTTTCCCTCGATGATCGTCTTGTTCCTTAATGTTGACGATAGCGCGCCGGATTGTGGGCACTCCCTACTCCACTATATCAGCAGCATACTTGACAGAGCCAGCGGTAGTCGCCCACCTTCACCACGACACCTGGTAAAGCGCGCTCCAGCTCGCGGAGTCGATAGTATTTATCCGCTCCATCGACGTAAACTCGCAAACGATTTTTCCGTGGGATCACTGTAATCGACTAATAGCATGTGAGACGCGCATATAGAGTACAACGGTGGTATCCAGATATACCTCCTGTTTAATCTTCAGTCTCCTACTGGCCACGATCGCCCATTTAATGTCATCAAGGGTGAGCTCCAACTGGGGAGACAAATCAACTGGAATTATGTAACGTTCGAGCAGGGGCACGAACCTGCAGATCTTGAATAGTCTTCATGTCTACAATGATACCAATGTACGTGTACTCGGGCGCCCATGCCTCCTCCAGAACAGCGGCCACCTATGCATACAATCAGGGCTCAGCGTTGCTGTTCGAATGAAGAATTCATACTTACATCGCCAAGATGCGTCTTCTCGAGTCGGCCTTTGACAATACGCGCCGATGCCTCACTGTCAGCGGTGACTAGCTTGCAGCTGATGATCGGTGTGCTGATGGCCTTCGCAGCGTTGATAATTTCTTTGATGCGCGGCACACCGAGGGTGACGTTCATGGATGCAACACCGGCAAAGTGGAACGTCTTCAATGTCATCTGTGTTCCCGGTTCACCAATGGATTGTGCCCCCACCGCACCGACAGTCGACCCTACAGCGAAATTAGCAAATGTTCGCTATCGAGAACTTCATATTTGGGTTGGACATACCAGGCTCGATCTTAGCTTTGACATATTTTGTCCAGCAGATGTTCAAGAAGGCTCGAAGTTGGTCTTCCGTCACCTTTAGCGTGTTGTCGACGACCGCCTTGTCGGCATCTGTGATTACGACATTAGCCATTGGATATTATGGCGATATTGCATTAATGCGCACCAGACGCTCCCAGGGACAGGTCTGTGTCCGCATCCCACTCCTCGTCGCGTTCCAACGCGTCGAACATACCGTGCTTCTTCCGTATATCAGCCAGCTTATGGACAACATGTTCAGAGATGAAGCCGCGGATCGTCGCGAGGTATGCCACAGTGCATTCGCTCGTGAACTTGCGCGTTGACAATTCATGGTCGACAAGCTCTATGATCTCAAACGGAAGCAGCCCTCTCGAACGTCTCGAGCTAATAGACTGTGTTCCACGAAGTAAGTAAACCACTGACCTGATACAGAATGAAACGTCCTCACCGAAGCATGGCTCCAGGCCCGCAAGAACTCGACCGGCTGGGCGTCACCCTCCAGACATGCTGGATCAAGACCGTCATCACCATATCGGAACTGCACTACACCGCCCACAGCATTTCGCACAGACGAATCATAATGCGTGACCAGGTCCTCTAGCGCCTTCATCAGTCGCCTCTGCATGTAACCTGTCTCTGCAGTCTTCACAGCCGTGTCGACCAGACCTTCGCGACCAGAGATGGCGTGAAAGAGGAACTCTGTCGGCGACAATCCAGTGTAGAAGCTGTTCCGCACGAAACCTTTCGAAGGCGGCTCCCTGGACTTCTTGGGAAAGTGCGGCAGTGAACGATCCTGGAAGCCATCGGGGACACGATGACCCGCGATGATCTGCTGCCCGACACAGGCCACCATCTGGGCAACATTGATGACGGAGCCTACAAGACATTAGAAGATACCTGAGAAAACATCCGGTGATGGCAACGCACCTTTTGACCCACATGTGGCCATGATCAGAGGCGCGTTGTGCCGGCTGAGCTCCTTCAGACAAATTTCTCCAACTTTGTCACGGACCTTCGATAGCACACCTGAGATCATAGCCTCTAACGTCTGCTCCTGATCACAACCTGGTTTGTTGTCTAATAGTCCCTTCTTGGCCCGCAAGATGAGGTCCTGACATTCTGCATACGCCGTCTCAACAAGGTTATCCTTCTCACGCGAGAGTTTTGGTCCAGGTATGACATCGTTGATGCCCAGCGAGAACCCGTAATTGGCTAATAACGTGAATCAATCGTACTGGGCCACAAAGATCACAAGGGGCAAGAGAGTACACGTACAAAGCCAGCGAGCACACAATTTTGCGACCCTGTTCATGGCTGCCGCGGCCTCATGAGGACCGTAATCCCTCATGATGATACCGAAGACCGACTTCTTCTTGCCACTGCCAACCGTAGCCTTATCCATGACACCACACATGATCTCGCTATTCACAATTACAAGCCAGCCATCGTTTGGCGACAGATCAGGCGCCGGGTTCATTCGCGAGTAACACTTCGGGTCGGGCTTCTCCTGCTTGTTACACTTAGACTCGACATTGACGAGCACCTTCGAGCTCTTGTTCGGTCTCATGAGGACATTGAAGACCTGCTTGCCCGTCCATAGGCGCACCGGCTTCCAGATCGTTGGAGGGGGAATGTCGATCTGCATGTTCGCATCGCCGAAGTACGAGCAGATTTGCGTGAACTGCCGGCGGTCGAAGAAGCTGTCTTTGCGCGAGAGGAGGAAGGAGGCGGTGATGAAGTCCTGGATCGCAGCGATGACGGGCTCTCCGTTGCGAGGTGTTACCAGATTGTTCTTGACGCTCATGAGTTCGAGAGCTTCCGTTCGTGCCTCTTCCGTCTGCGGTACGTCTGCACGGGCATTTGAACACTCATCCTGTGCATTACAAAACGACGGACTCACGCAAATTCATCTCATCGCCGTCGAAATCAGCATTGTAAGGGCCGCACACGCACTCGTTCAGGCGAAATGATCTCCAAGGCCGGACTTTGACCTGTTCATCGGCCAGGTTAGATTAAACAGTGATTTGACCAATTGCGCTCACCCGATGACACATTATGGATAGCTGAAGGCACAATCAGTAATGCACATAGTGTGCACAAGATCAAAAAAGACATACCTTGTGCAAACTAGGTTGCCGATTGAAGAGCACAATATCGCCGTCGACTATATGCCTCTCAACGATATCCCCGATCCTCAGCTGGTCCGCAATAGCATCTTTGTTACCAAACTTGAGATACTTCTTGAAGCCGTTGCTTCCCGCAGTGACATAGTTGGCGCCAGGATGAATATCGCATCCGTTCCGGATCGCCTTCTGCAGCACCTCGATGTTGTGCGCCGTCACGCGCTCCGGGTATGTCAGGATTCTAGCAACACGCTCAGGCACTGCGACCTCGTCAATGCGCAGGTTGGGGTCGGGCGATATGACAGTGCGTGCGGAAAAGTCAACACGCTTGCCCGAGAGATTACCTCGAAACCGACCCTGTTTGCCCTTCAACCGCTGGCAGAATCCACGAATAGGCTTCTGGCCCATTTGTGAGGGCACACCGGGCAGTTCAGAATTGATGTACATCGCAACAGAGAGCTGCAGGAACTCCCATTGTTCCTACACGATCAAAACGCGGTCAGCTAGAGTGAAGGCTATGTGTGAGTGACGACAATCTGACCATGAACTGCGCGGTCGGAGCACCTTTGACAAGACCCTGCTTGATGAGTGCATTGCTGAAGACGATTTCCGTCAGCTTCACTGTCAAATCATCCTCGTTGGAGGCGCCATCTTGCGCAACGGACGGACGGATACACACAGGCGGCACCGAGATATATTGCCAGATGTACTCTTCCGGTCGGCCGTACTGGGGCCGCAGACCGAGCAGCTCGCAGTCCTACACGAAAGATGAGTACCCGCTTGCAACCACACGGTAGCACGCGCACCTCATCTGTGATCCGCTTGAACAGACTCAGCACCTTCAATGGATTCAAGTCCTCATGCACCGCCTTATTAATGTACATGCCCAGCTCCTTCTGCATTTCGACCGCCGGCGCGAACGTCGTCTTCCACTTCTCCATCTCTTCCGCGGTCTTCTTCGCGCGGAACTTGTCGTGGATGATCTTGAGCGCGCCCACCTTCTTCACTGTGCCGTTCGTCGCCGAGCAGTACGGACAGTACACCGTCTTGCGCGCGAGCGCGTTGACGGCCTTGCAGAGCGCCTGCCGCTGAATGTTCTCGAGATTCGGTCGGCGAAAGCGTTTGAGGTACGTCCGCCGGTCGGGCTCCTCGAGCAGCACGCGCGCGCAGGTCTTGCATATGCATTGAAGGATCGAGATGGTGTGCCTGAAGTAGCCAATGTGAAAGACGGGTACGGCGAGTTTGATGTACGCGTAGTGTCCGACGCAATCTACCGAAGACAAACCGCATGTCTCGCAATACGCGTTCTTCTCTGTGGTACCCTAGGAACCTGTTCGGCTTAGTGAATCGGGGAGGATAGATGGCCGCCTACCAGACGACGATCGAGAACACCATTCTTCACCGGCTGCCTCTCGACGGGTGTGTAGAGATCGCGGTGGGTAACCTCAAACTCTGAGATCTTGACCGTGTCCTGGTTGCTCAGCAGGCTGAACTGGAGTTTCTTGCTGAAAGACGGTTAATGGATATGTAATATTGCCGGCGCATACATCTTACATGACTTTGGGTGCTTGATGAGATACGGTTTCCTTCATTTTGACATCGAGAGCCTGCAGCAGCACTCCGGAATTTCAGTGTCTGAAGGCCTCAGAGTAACCGAGTTCGTCGCCTCGTCGCCGTCGCTAAATTCAAGGAGCACAGGTCCACTGGGTGAAAAGCAGAGTCACGGGCGGCTTGAAACAGGATATTTCACGGAAAAGGCAAGTGTGATCGCGGAACGCGTCTGCGTGGTCGCGTATAGGCGCCTGACTTGCGCGTCCTCGCTCTCTTGCTTCAAGCTCTCCCCTTCCCCACATACACCGTCATGTCCAGAACTTCTTATGACCGGTATAACCAGACTTTGTGCTTGCATTGATACTGTCTGATGAAGACTGCATAGATATCTCACCGTCTTCTCACCAGAGGGACGACTCTATCAAGTCGGTGCGTACGCATAGTGGGGTATCGACCCGACCGTGAAGCGGACTGACGGCCGTTGTAGAGTATGCGTTTAAGGCCATCTCAGGCTCTGGGCACACTGCAATCTCCGTGCGAGGAAAGGATACCGCCGTCGTGATCACACAGAAGAAGGTTCCCGTACGTATGCCGTGCACGCCATGACTCCGCTTGCCGATGCTCATCTCGCAAGTCTTGTTTCTCCAGGATAAGCTACTTGATGCTTCTACAGTCACACATCTCTTCAGTATATCACCGACGATTGGCTGTGTCATGACTGGTCTAATTGGTGCGATTGAACATCACTTCCACCGAGTCCTAGCTAATCCAGCTCGTTCTGCTTTTACTCACAGCCGATGCCCGCGCTCAAGTGAATCGGGCACGCTCAGAAGCTGCAGAATTCCGATATAAATACGGCTACGAGATCACACCCGACGCACTGGCGCGACGGCTCGCCAACATCAATCAAGTGTACACGCAACGCGCTGCGATGCGGCCACTCGGTATCTGTACGTGCTGCATCCCAGTTCCCGCGAATGCAGCTCTGACGATTGTCAAGCGATGATCGTCATCGGCACTGACCCGGAATACGGCCCGCAATGCTTCAAGCTCGACCCGGCAGGCTACTTCGTTGGCTACCATGCGACGGCTGCCGGCCAGAAACAGCAGGAGGCGATGAACCACCTCGAGAAGAAATGGAAGAAACTCGACTCAGGACGGGGTGCGGAAGACGCGGTAGCCGCAGGCAAGACATTGGGCAGGGCCGAGGTTATCGAGGTACGTGCTCATTCCTAGGCTATGCTAGTGCGAGGATTGACCAGATGTCAAGATGGCCATCGAGGCGCTGTCGACCGTGCATGCGACTGATTTCAAGCCAGGAGAAGTCGAGATTGGGATTGTGTCGGACGCGGAAGAGGAGAACCTGAAGACGCGGGGACAGTGGCGCGTCATGGATGAGGCCGAAATAGAGCAGCACCTCATGGCGTATGCAGAGAAGGACTGATGTACATGTATTACTGGACCACATTCTCACTGGTACTTCCAAGCTTCTGTGCGGCACGGTCTGATAATATTCTGTCGAAGCAAAGGATGAGAGCAGCAATGCATTTCATTAAAACTACAAGTATCCATGTCCACAGCCTTGTACGTTCGTCGACTAGAATCTCGAGGCACCTCCCGTCTGTCGAAGAGCACGACGTCAGCATTCACCATTCCATCTACAAAAAGCAGCTTAAATGTGAACGTACCGCAATAAGTTCAATCTCCCATTCCTCCAGGTCATGTTTCCAAAGCTTCTCCGGAGCCTCCCAAAACTCCTGGAACACTTGCGCGTTCGTGCCTTTACCCGCCGACGCCGGCACCGCGCTCGATGTCGCACCCGTGCTCGCCGATCTTGACGCCTGGAACTTCTTCACAAAGCTGTCAAACGACGCCTTGACATCTGACGATGCGCATGGATGGGCATGGGGTTGGTCTGGGGCTGCAGAGTCATGAATTGATTCTGCACGGGATAAGCGCGAGGAGGGGCGTACTGGATGGCCACTGCCGCTTGCCGAGGAAGTGGATGAGGGGCGGGCGCAGGCGGCCGGTGCCTGCTGCACAGAGACGTAGCGTGGGCTGCATAGGTGTGGGTGTCGTGTGCGGGTGGTGTCAGTCTAAGCCCCCGCTCTAAGTCTACGGTCTAAGTCACAGTGTGCAAGGTGTGGGGGGTCTACTAGTGATGCAGCACCTACAGTACGAACGCGAAGCTATAAAGCTGTTCCGCTAGGAAAGTTTCTCACTCGGAGATTGCAGAGGAGCGTGTGTAGATGGCGAGGCGCACGAGCGCAGGTCGACGGAGAAGTCAGTCGAAGGTTAGCGGAGGGAGGGCCAGAGAAATCGAGGGAGGACATGGCCGGCTCTGGATGGCACTTCGGACACTGCGTCCGATCGAGAGTCGACCAGGCCTGCTCTCCCATCAACCGACTACACCATGTCCGTACTCATTGCAGATATAACCGCATGTATTAAGCAGTGCAATGCTTAAAAAAATACTCGTGTTCATACATGGAAGCTACTCAATACACCCACATATGTTAAGATGCAGCATGAACGTAGCGGGTCGCTACGATCTCGGTCGAGGCGATCATAGAGCACAACAGAGTCGACTCGACCCGACATGCGAGGCAAACTCATGGCGGAAACGTCCACAAGCAAACAGGGGGCATGCAAAAAGATACGCCACCGCGCTTGCACGACCGTTGCTACCAGTCCTCCGATGGATCGTCCACTATGTCCAGCGGTGGCCAGAAAGACTCGATCTCCCAGACGTCTCCAGAAACCACCTCATCGCCCTCTTTCCGCCGAGGACACCGCCCACATGCCTTCAACATCTCTACCGTCTTGAAGAAGACGCTCTCCGCATTGACCGTGGCCAAATCACCTTGCTCGGGCAAAACGGGCGAGCATGTCGGTGTTACAAGGACAGTAGCGTTGGCGGCTGCTTCGAGCTTCTGAGCAGGCTGACTAGGCGGATGCTGAATGTAGAATAGAGTGAAAAGCGCTTGGACCGGAGCGCCGTCACCTGGTGGCGGAGTCGCTAGACTAAGCGTTGCGTCCAAGTACGGGCTGAGCAGCTCGTCTGGTGTTGCTGTGCTTGCGTCAAGCAAAGGCATCGTAATGTACAGTATCCCTAAACAGCGGAATCAGTAAGGAATTGTCGCAGTAATTCGCACATGTCATACATTTGCCTCGAGGAGCCGACATGCTGCCTTCACCGGTGATCAGCACATTCACTGCGACTTCACCTGAATTCTCCGGCAGAGTAGATGGAGGAAACACGAGAAGCGCAGTATCTACTTCTTCTTTCGCCTCCTCGGCCATCTCCTCTGCCTTCTCCCTTTCCCGCGATGAATCTGCACCATCATCAGATATTGGTTCTGACGGGTTTTCAGTCGTGGCATCGGGGGTTGTAAAAGATAATGGCCGGTCGATTATTGCTATGCATCTTGCCACTGGATAAGTGGGTGTCGGGCCAAGTGAAGGCACTGTTGTTGCGTCGATATCGGAAGGAAGGTAGTCCAAAGGCGAGACAACAACATCACATATAAGTTTCTCCTCGAGGTCATGAAGCTCAACCTTGTGTCGCTGGCCACTGGACGAGGTGATGACTTCGTCAGAGACCTTCTTATCGAGGGAGGCTATCTGTCGACCAAGGATATACGTGGCACCATTTACGGCGGAAGTGCGGCAGAAACCCTGAGCGATCTCGCCTAATCCACCATAATGACCTAAGAGAAACGGAGATGGTCCGTATCGTCCTGTTGAACGGAGATATCTGCGAATGCGCTGGAGTGCTGGTAACGTAGGATCTGGCGCGCGGAGGTGAACCCCAGGCCAATCTAAAAGAATGCATTTGTATGATACCTAGCGCAGAATTGCAGAACGCCAATGCGTAGGCGATCGCCCCAGCAGTCCGGTCTTCGAGCGAGAACGTCTCACGCAGGAAGCCGAAGAAAGGCACGTCAACTTTGCCCTCGAGCTCCTTACTGCCTTCGAACTCGCCCGCAGCAAACGTTAGGAAGCGCATGAGTCTCCTTTTGTCTAGCAGAGACAGCTCCTTGCTCTTAAAGACGTCTTCCTTGCTGCCGGGCACATGCCGCACCTTGCCTGGGGCGGCGTAGAGTGCGACCTTCTCGAGGAGTTTGAAGCCACCATAGCGGGAGACACCGGACGCAACGAGAGCATCTATGAGAGGGCCGATGGATGGAATGATGCTCGGTGCGAGTGAGAGCGAATACTGCCTAGACTGAGGAAGAGAGGAAGAGGAATGAGTGATAGAGGCGAATCGTGCTCGCTGCGCGGAGGTATACGCGTTGTCGAGGGCATCAGGTTGAGATGTGTGTCGATCAGCCCAGTCAATCAGCTCGTCGAGAGTTAAAGAGGCGTCGTCACCGCCGTAATAAGGATTGGCGTCGATGTGAGCGACCTTGAAGCCTGCCTTGGAGAGTGCGCTGAGGACCAGTTTCAGACGGATTCGGCATCGGATGGCACGATGCTTACGCGGCTGTAATCGACTCTGTCAGTCCAGTCCCGAGAACGACGACGTCGACGTCCATGCTCTTCGACACGTTGTACCGCGAGAACGAGTGTAATGTCGAGGGAGATGGCCTGGTAGATCTCTCTGCACTGTAAGCAGCAGCATGAGCGCTGAAGCGCCCATAGATGGAGTCGGTGTTTGCCGAGTGCCCGCGGCCGTTCCCAGCTTTGCATTTTCGGAAATTTTCCGGTTCTGTACTCCAGTTCCCCGCTTCTCTCAACCTCTCAGCTCTCGCATCCTTTTCGTCGCGATGGCCAAATCCGCAGAGAAAAAAGCAAGCAAGAAGGTCGAGAAGAAGTCTTCGAAGGCGTCGGCAAAGACCGCGCCCGTGAAGGAGGCCGCGGCTCCCAAGAAATCAATCTCCTCGAAGGAGACTGCGGCGAAGGCTCAGGTATGTCGTAGTCTACCCATCACACCGTGGGTCGGAAGTTTTACGAGGATTCATCAATGTAAATAGAACTCGAAGCATTCAAAAAAAAAACAGGAGAGCAGCGACGAGGGCTCTTCGGAGAGTGAGGACGAGGAAAAATCAGCGCCAAAAGCCCAGGCAAAGAACGTATGTTTTCATTTGCTTCCAGACAGGAGTCTTCTCTCATGTTTGTTCACTGGCTTCTCAGGCCAAGGCCAGGGGGATTTCTTCGTCCGGTTTCTTGTCCAGCTCTGATGAGGAGCCAGCCAAGAATGCACAAGCAAACGGCAAGGTATGTAATAGGCTCTGATCATCTCGCTCATTTGATAGCGAAAAGTTTCAGGATAAGGCTGCCGATTCAAGTGAGGAGTCTTCCGAGGACGAATCCGAGGATGAAAAGCCAAAAAAAACTGCTGCCCCTGCCAGCCCCCAGAAGCAGACTGTTGCTGCAACCGCGAAGGGTGTAGCTGGCTCGTCATCGTCCGAGTTGGGTTCCGACTCTGACGAGGAAGAGAAGCCGAAGGAAGCACAGGTGAAGGCAGCTGCCAAGAAGGGCTCATCTTCATCAAGCGAAAGCGAGAGTTCGGATGAGGAGAAAGCCCCTAAGAAGGTTGCTTCTGTCATCGCGAAGATGGGAGGGGCGAAGGGGTCACCCGCCAAGGCCGAAAAGAGTGGTAGCGATAGCGACGAGGAGAGCTCAGAGGACGAAGACGAAGCTCCCAAAAAAGCTGTGCCAGTTAAGACTTCCCCGGCCAAGACTGCTTCACAGAAAAAGGGCAATGGGAGCAGCGCCGAAGATGAGGAGTCGTCTGATTCAGGATCGGAATCAGGCGGCGATGAAGACGTTGAAATGGGGGATGCGACTGCAATCGAAGTGACGACTGGTGAGCTTCGATTGACATCAGGCATGTCGAATATATCACCCGCTCATATTACATGTCCATCAGGCAAGCGTAAGGCGAATGACGATTCGTCCGCTCCCGCAAAAAAGCCCAAGATTGCTAACGGCGACGCTGCCACCTCCGACGAATTTGCACAGAGCAAGACGATCTTCGTAGGCCGGCTTTCATGGAACGTCGACAATGACTGGCTCGCCCAGGAGTTCCAGGAGTGCGGCGAGGTTGTCTCTGCGCGCGTGCAGATGGATCGGAACACGGGCAGGTCGCGCGGGTTTGCATACGTCGCGTTCACCACCGCCGAAGCTGTGGAGGCCGCGCTTAAGCTCAACGGAAAGGAGATCGACGGCCGGCCAGTCAACATTGACAGGAGCGCGGAGAAGGACCAGAGCACGAGGCGCGATGCGCGCGCGAGTGCGTTCGGCGATAAGGCGAGCCCGCCGTCGAGCACGCTATTCCTCGGCAACCTCAGCTGGAACACCACGGAAGACCAGGTGTGGGAAATATTTGGTGAGTATGGTGACGTGAAGAGCGTGCGTCTGCCGACGGATCGCGAGACTGGCAAGCCTAAGGGTTTCGGCTATGTCGAGTTCTTGGACATCGAATCTGCGAAGAAGGCGTTCGAGGGCGGTAGTGGGACTGAGATCGACGGCAGGGCGGTCAGGATCGATTATTCGCAACCGCGGGACCCTAACAGCGGCGGCCGCGGTGGAGGCCGAGGAGGGTTTGGTGGAGGTCGAGGAGGAGGAGGGTTTGGTGGAGGCCGCGGCGGCTTTGGTGACAGGGGTGGTCGTGGAGGCGGCCGTGTAAGTCACTTTCATGCATTTCTGCCGATATGGTATTGACTCACTATCCACAACAGGGCTTTGGTGGACGAGGTGGTGGTCGTGGTCGTGGAGGTGATCGGGGACGTGGACGTGGCGGTGGTTTTGGTAGCCGCGGAGGCGCTCGCAACGGTGCCATCGCTGCTGCTGAAGGCAGGAAGGTTACGTTCGACTAGGATCAATGGCCCCTCCTGCTTGCTATTTCCTTGCTGTTCGGCGTTCTCTATTCTTAACGGATTGATGCTTGATCTATGCCGCTACTTTTTTACCCATGTGCTTCTCTTGCAAAATGTACGAATACCTCTTTGGGGCTTCCTCTCGCTCAAGAAATGAGGATGACGAGCATTGGTATATATATTGAGACATTATAGAGCGAACATATACGGTATTACAGACAATCGGCGGGGTATTCGACGTCACGGCGACAGTAAACGGATGAAAAGAAACAAACAACAATTAGTAACGTCAAGAACGCGTGTACCCAGTGAGAACATGGCAATAAGATTATGAATGGTCAAGCGAGCATGATCTCTGCATCACAGTATCCCATTCATCCCAGCTTGCCCTCCGCCGCCGCCTTGCGGATGGGATTCTGACCGGGTTGAATAGCACCACTCTTCTCGAGGCGGTCGAAGAGGACAAATAGCTTCTCCGCCTCGCGTTCCTTTTCCTCGTCTGTCATATCAATTTCCGGTTTTGGCGTCTCTACGACTCCCGTGATGGGATTGATGGGAGCACCTGAGGGCGTCGTACTTGGCACGGTCGAGTTGGAGACACGCGACGGCTGGCCTGTGATGCCCTTGTGAAAGAGGAAACCTGCGACATTGCCGTAGCCGACGTAAGATGCCAGGAGACTCGCTGTACGACCAAGCTTCATCAGCTACAGAAAACACCAAGCAAGACAAACACATACCATCCGAGTCGCACACGGCATAGAGCATCTCGCCCGTGGCCATCTTGAGCTTCGTATGGTGCACGGACGCCAGCAAACGCAAAGACCGGCCTAGCATATCCGCCCTGCCCTCCAAGGGCGACGTTCGATCCAAATCCGCCGGGAGGATCCACTCGCGCATTCGCGTCCGCGCGCCCTCGTCCGCCGTGCAGAGCTTCCCGATCAGCAGCACAAGCGGAGGCAAGACGTCATCCAGTGTCTCACCCTGCTTCCTGCACCGTTCGCGCACGCTGCTGTCGTCTGGGTCGACCGCGCCGGGGAGATAATGCGCCAACGATACGTCAAGCAGGTCGTACGCGCGCAGGAGGACATCTGCTGGGGGGCTCAGCTGGGGAGAGCCCGAACGAGTAAGGGAGAGCGAGCGCCGTCCTGCCGCGAGCGCGGAGAAGGCGCGGTCAAACGCGCTGTGCTTTACGTCTTTCGCGGGTCCCAACGTTGGCGAGCCGCTGTTGCTTCCGCTGCTACTGCCAGGTGAGGGCAGCGGAGAGTCGCGGCCCTTTGACGAGCGCGGTGACGCGGCGGCAGGGAACCACTTGGTGTGTAGGGAGGGAGTGACAGGGATTGCGATGAGATTATGAATTACGTGTGTTGTGGGAGCGGAAAGGGGCGAAGGGAATGTCGGGGGAAGGGTCAAGAATGTTCGCAGAAGAGGAGGAAGAAAGCTAACATGCACGGTGAGATAATGCGCATAGGTGGATGTCGTGCAAGGTGCATACCCATCCAGCCGGTCGCTCCAGCGGTCGCCCATCACTTCTGCTTCACCCTCGCTTTTGGCGGAGATCTCTTGGGCGTCGCTTGCAATCTGCAGACATCAGAGTGATGCTAATGGCGCAACAACAGTGTGATGTACCTTGGGGTAATGTGCCAACAGATTAAATGTGAGCTTTAGTAGATCGGTCATAGCTTCTCGTGATAACTTGGCACCGTTCATAATACTTCTTGACAAACTATCTAGCTTGGCATTGACAACCTCAATGATGTTACCGGGATGACCCGAGGGTTTGCTCTCGACCAGCATCTTGATGAAGTCCCCTCCAGAGGCCAGGGATGCTGTGCAAAGGAAGAGAATTCGGGATGCAAGAAATATACGTTCCGGATTTGTGGACTTCTGCGGCGCTCGTTCTGAGCCAAAACCAATGTCGATAAAACATTGAACACACCTCAAGCATCTCCAATGCAGCCTCTCCACCGCCAATCGACTTCTGAATGAATGTCTCGCGTGCATTGCTGATAAGCAGCAGAGCATTAGCTATGCATCTCAGTGCTTCGTTCGAAGCGTCTGCATTATCTTTGAATGATTGCGATAGAGAGAGAAGTGCAGAGAGATTGGCAGGCGTAGCGATGATCTCCGAGCCGGCAGGGTCCTTGCCGAGCGCCTTCACAGCAGCAAGCGCGGGATACGCATCTGAACGTGAAGGGTCCCAGGATCAGCTCTGAGGAAATGCTAGGCACTGCCGCACAGCACCCGACTACTTGCCTTTCGAACACAATCTGCCCTTTTTGCCGTTCCCATTGCCACATTTCGTGAGGTCATCAATGATCGTTTGAACGAGTTGCTTGCGATGGGAGGCATCAATCTGGGACGAGAATGCTGCTGGGAGAATTAGCGATGCGTCGACCGAGCAAAGCGAAATAGGCATGCCATCAGTTATTGACTGCAAGACGGAGGACACATCGGACCGCGGTGAGGAGGGCGAGAGGGCGTTGTAGGCATCGAGGAATGTAGACATCGGCGTGCAAGAATGAGGGCGTCGGCCGCTGCGGAAGGAGAAGGACGAGGCGAAGCAAAGGTGGCTTCGAATCCTCGGTCGTAAATCTTGATTCTCACGAAAAGGATCGTACAGATATTTTCAGGCTGAACAAGGAATACGGCAGCCAGAAACAACGTGTACTAAAGGTCGAGAAACAAGGCGATACGAGGGAAGGGGAACGGCATAGAACAAGACCATGAGGAGGAGGACAGCCAACAAGACCGCGGAGGATTAGCGCCCATCGACGTCCAATGAAACTCAGCCGGGCAACCGATCAGCGGAGTTTCGCTGCTGCAGATCCTTTCCCGTGAGATTCCAACGCAACTGCTTCTCCGATTGGTCTTCTAAAACTCCGACGCGTCTCAGCCACATCCAAGTTGGCTGCCACTCCCCATCTGCGAGACGCATATATTTTGGACTATGAGCGTGCCAATAACACAACAAACGTATTTCTGGATGATCAATGGCGTTGCTACTGCGGCTCGATGCATGATGCTGTGAACGGTTCCATTCAAACCTTCGCGCACATGATTGAAACCATGGTAACGCTTTCATTAATTCCCGTAATAAGCCGCGTCATATCGGGCAGCGGTTGTTGGTCAGCCTGTTCGGTCATTAACTAAGAAGCACATCGAAGCGTACGAAGCTCCCGGCTGGGTCCCTCCGTGCGTACACCCGAAGCAATGATCTCGGTCTCTACTACGTACAGGTCAGTCAATATTATAGATGACACCATAGCAAAGCCAGCAACCAATAATCAATGGCTTCTCAATCCGATGCCGAGATCCTGCCTCTACGGTAGCGCGTGAGATGCGGCCGAGCAGCGGCAGCACGCGATAAAATGCAGCGTTCATAGAATGAGTCACTGCAGGCATGAAGGCATTTATTCCCGCTGCAAATGCTCTGAAAATGTGTTCTAAACTGTGACCTATGCAACACTATGCCCTAATTAAGCAACTTTATTTCCCAAAAAGGCAGACAATTACAATTTAGTGTCATTAAATAACGGTCGCAAATGCGTTCATGTCTGCGGTGAGTGACCTCTTTTGTCCTGTTCACTCTAGCCACTGGCATGAGGCTTGAGCACATATTAATGATCAGCCTGGCAATGAGTCAGGCGACGCTGTCGAGCTGAACACGCTGTGAGGGCCCTAGCGTCCATCATTCGGTAGCCGAGGTTCACTTGCAGACAGAGGTGCCGTCATTAGGCCACTGCAAGATTGCATGAGTGGCGGACCTCAGTTGTATTCCGAAGAACTTACAATGACATACGTATTGATTCAAACGTGACCGTTCAGCGAGCTCTGCTCTTGCTCCTCCAAGTGCACTGCGTCGATCCGCATCGCCTCGGCCGGCTGAGGCTCTGACAGATATTGAGTGAGCTCCGGAAAATTCTGGCTCAACATCTCGTCCAGATGTTTGCGGTATTCCTGCTCCAAGACATTCAGCGTGCGTCTCCCTGCACAGGATTCAACACCCACGTCTACCGCCTGGATCTTCCCGTTCATGAACTGGTTCTCGGAGGCAGCGCGCTCGATCCGCTCCCTCGTCAACACGAGCGGGTTGCGAGCGCTGTCTATGTCCTGAAGTACCTGGATAGGTATCATGGTGTGCACATGTTGAGCCATGTCGTCTATCGTGGCAAGGTGGTCGATCACGTCGTTCCTGCATCCAATCGCCCCCATGATCCATGAACAGTGTCCCACAGCGACCGTGCGAGAACCACTTACACATGCGCTCCCACCTGCTTGGTTCCCCCCATCCGCTCCTTCTCCTTCGCGAGGTCGTTGACCACTGTAGTCCCGAGATTGTACAGCGCATGCACAAGGCCCACGAGTTCGGACTCGAGGTCGCCCTGCACGCCGGCGGGCGCTGGCGATTCCGATGACCGCGGCGAGTCTCGGGCCGGAGTCTGAGTGGGATTTGCTCGAACCATCATGGAGGCGCGGACAAAGATGGCTAGCGAGTTTGCATGTCCACGCGCAAGGCGTGCGTGAGGAGGCCACCAATTAAGGAAAGGGCCACAAAGAATGCTTGCTTATGTAATGACGGTGAATTGGAATTTACAAGTCAGGATTGTTCTATTACTGCCACCAATGCATGTTGAATTGTTCTACATTGCACTATCTGGTGCATTCAGCACAACAAAATATGTAGACGGAACATGTCATTGCCAGGATGATGCTCATTCTCGACGTCGTAGCACATCTACGAGTCTTCCATCGACTGATAGGACACGATACGAAGATGGGAAAAGAACTTAGGTCAGAAAATTATGTTTTTCCAGCTCAAGATTGCTGCGTCGAGTTCCCCCGTCAACCCGCGCACGATTGCGTGTTCTTGAAGCTTAATAACAGCTCCACTCTTCTTATCTTCAGCAGCTGCTAGTCCTGCTGTGATAACCGCATCCAGTGGGTCTTGAGGTCTTCGTTTCTTGACGATTAGAGGTGCGCACGGAAGGAGCAAGACCCGATCGGTGTCGCCAGCAGGAACTTGGAGGGAATAGGCCAGATCGGGAGGTGAGTCAGACACCGTCTTCGATGGGAGCAATTCGATGCAATTGATGTCTAGATCTCCTAAAACAATGCGAGGAATGCCTTGGGAGCATGCTTTGCTTCTGTCGCTAGCCTTTGCGGACTGGTACCCGTCGTGCCTTGGAGGCGCTACTCCGATGCTGCGACTGTTCTCTCCAACGCTGGATGACTTGCACCGCGAAGGTTTACGGCCGAATGCGATAAGAGGACGAGCAGGCAATCGAAGAACATGCGGGGAATCATAACTGTTCTCCTGGTATGAGGGAAATTTGATGCCTTCTTGTGCGTAGATTGCATGCCGTCTGGGAGGACGCTCGCTTCCAGACGTCAGAATTCGATCCTCCGTTCGAAGCGGGAACTTCCAGCCTTCGGAAGCTGTCTTTGCTCTCTTCCTGGCGGTTGTTGCCACGGCCGACATTTCCTGAACCTGCCGGACGAGAATGTCGGGATTATGGCTCGTCCTGCCGAAGCGGATGCTCTCGTGAAAGGCACGATAAGGGCGGTAGCTGGTGCTGTCTACCACTGGATCTTGCGTGTCTGTTGAGGAGATCGCCGTCGAGTTGTCAGGCCATTCCGAGAACGGATGGTAGCGTTCCAACGAGGCGTCCGTCCGATGTGATGGGAGTGCCAACGAGTCTCGGATTTGCTGTACGAGGTCTTGTCCAGAAGATGGTATAGTAGTTACGTTTCTTTGCAGAATCCCATTACCAAGATTGGCATCCGTGGAAGGAAATCGATAGTCTGTGCACGTTAAAATGTTTTCTGAGACTCGTCCAGCGGGCTTAGAATTGGCCGAAAGCTTCAGGAGCAACCTCCATCAAATGCTACACCACGGACAATTCACACTTAACGTACCGATGTGTGAGTACTGCCCTTGTAGCGCGAGGCCATGACGGGAGTGGGCCCTACTATGGACGTGTTACGTCGCCGAAGCAGCGTATGAGCAACTGCGTTATCCGTCGATCTTCTTCCTGACGGTTCAACGCGGACGCTATCGCGAGCTTTCTTGGAAGGAACGGGAACCCTAGATCCTCCATTAGCGTTAGTTCCGGCTAGCGTTCTGGTCTGTGCTTCGTATTTCGCCGGATTACATGCGTTTGGCATGTTCGGACGGTTGCCCGAGGCAGGCTTGCATGCCGGCAGTCTAGCCTTGGATATAATGATGTGAGTTGGTGGCTCTGGTGCAAGAAGTAGTGGGCCATGTCGATGAGGCCTCGTGAATGGTGACCTGAACGTGTCGTCGGCCGTGTTGGGAGATGCAGCGAGGTACGGTAGTTGAGACATGGCGAATTTCTGGTTCTGAGGTCCGACCTGCGGCCTGTGTGCTAGTAAAGAATGTGGTTTGTCTTGCTGTTGAGTACTTGCTTGTTGCTGACCTGCCTCAGTCGTGGTGGCGGCTGAGGTGAATGAGTGTGCCCTGGGCTTGAACCAACTCACTTGCCATATTTGTCCCAGCTCGCCATCGGAGCCTTCATAAGCGCCCGACTCCCGATTCACGACCAACTCGTTCGTTCGGACTCATCTACGAGCGCTGAAGCGAACGTCTTGGCCCAATATTGTTTCATTTCCCCGGCTGAAATGAACTCGTATTCGTCAAGGTCGTGATCAGATGATACTTCATAAGATATTCAAAGACGAAAAGTTGAGGCTCCTCGAGAAAGAATAACAGCGCCAACGGCGCGCATACTGCCGTCTTTGGATGTAATCAGAAATATCTAGTGGCGCATCCAGCATCACAGCTACTTCTCTCATGTTCGGATTCGCTGTCCGAGTCGACGAAGAGAAGCAGACGCAGCTCTCCCTACGGGCTGGCTTACTCTCGCCTGGATCTGGGTTCATGATATTCAACCTACAAATAGGACAGCAAGAGAAGGGCGTGATACCATATCGCAACGGACAGAGGTTCTGTCGTTCGCCACAGAGCTGAAACGCGCTGTGGAGTAGGGAAGTGTTTCAAAAAGGCGTAGTCCGGGTGGAGGCAAAGCTGATCGACGTGAAGGAATCGAAATGAGCGCTGCGCCCTTCGCGAACATAGTGTCCCGGGCGGAGAGGAGAGTGCAGTGCTCGTCTGGTCTGTGATTAGGTCGTAGAGCGACCAATCAGCAACGACAGGGAGAACGTATGCAAGCAGATTGAGAGACGTTTGTTGTCCTGCTTCACAACGATTCATGGACATCATTCAACATACATTGTCTCGTACTAACGGCGAGTGACTACGACGTCGCCGAGTGGCCCGTACCCTCTGCGCCAGATCTAAGGTTAGTGAGAAGATCTCTGAGGCGCTGTCGCAACTTTGTGACCATTGCATCCTCATCTGATGAAGGAGGCGGCTACAGATAGACAAAACGCCGTGAATCAGCCTTTCCAAACGTTGGATAGAAGAACAGCACCATCTGATCTAGAAGATACTAATCATGGGGATTGATAAAAGCCAACGTTATCGGGTGATTGGCGAGCTCACTCACTTCTGCTTCATCTATTGCCTACGAGTATCAGGGGCATGTCAGTACTTCCTCCGCCTAATGATGAGGTCAAACAGACCAGAATGATAGGACCCCTGCTCGGCAAGATAGTCAGCGGAGGCACATTCTGATGAGATGTCGTCTTGCCTATTCATCTCTGCGCTTTTCGGAACAAGTTGTGGGAAAAGCGACGCTGGCGACGTGCACGATGTCCGGGCTGGTATGCGCCACGATCACGTGCTGATGCCACGCGTGAAAGTCGTGTCGCGGGAATAGCGGGAGCAAATTGTGACACGATTGATGCCTTGATCTGCTGGCGTCGGGCTCAGTGGCCTGCTTTTGAGTCAGCATATTTTTGAGCTGTGGTCAGACGGCTGCAAAAGGAACGGTCAAAGCCCTGTCGTGCCGCAATAAATCGAGCCCTGGCGCTGTACAGTGTCGGATTGCAATGCCACAGCAGCACTGCTGCGGCGTTGACCTGTGTGGGTCGGTCTGCGCGTAGGTGCGGCAGAGAGGCGCAGCAGGGTGTGGGCCTGTGCGCAGAGCCACGTGAGAAAGGGTCCTGCCGACGTCACCTAGGGAACCCTTGCAGGGGACTGGCCGCGCACTCTCAAGGACACCGGCACGCGGCGACAATTATGTTACTGATCGGGCTTGTTCCTTTTCTGCCCGGAATTCTTCTTGCCACCGTGGCCCTCGCCAATCTATTTCTTTCTTCTTTTAGCATGGCACCGCTAGTGGCCTCTCCTTCAACTCCGCGACTGCTTCGTGTGTGGGCAATCCCGACGCGGCCGTCGAAAACAAACACCCTTGGGCCATACACGCGGCGTATTCGAAGAGCCACTGCTCAGGCTACATAAACCCACCGTCTTTCTCCTCTACGAACCCGCTATTCACGCTTTCCGAAGCCCGCAGCTCTCCCATGTCGCGTCAGACACAACCAGACCAACAAAACATGTCTAAACCTTCCGAACGTCCCACTGTGGACAGTCTGTATGGTATGGTGAGTGAACGCAGCATCTAGCCTATGAAACACCTCATATCTACTCCGCGGACAGGAATCTGATGGAAAACGACGCAAGGCCGTGAAGGATGCCCTCCGATTTATGGAGCACTTCTTCCCATCGATCGCACGTCCCGCAGAGATATCACCCATCCAGCAGTCTGTCGCGCCGAAAATGGATGCCTTCATCACCCACATCGAGGGCCGTGTCCGCCTACCAACTTTCGTATTGTATTCGGGGCTATACCTGCTATATCGTCTGCTGAAAACCGCTCCAAGTACGAGACACAAGGATCCCTACGGTCTGTTCCTCACTGCGTTCATGGTCGCCGCCAAGATCCAATGCGACGACAACTACAACATGAAGGCGTGGACAACAGTCGGCCGCGATCTGTTCAGCATCCAGCAGCTCTGCCAGATGGAGCGCGATCTCTGCTCCACCCTCGGCTGGGACCTCACAATACCGCAGTTCGCCCGGGAGGAGTTCGAGGCTCGTGTGCAAGCGCACTTTCACGGTCGTGGCCCGTTCGCACCATTCGAGTTCTCTCCGTCCATCGGGGCCAAGTCGCCCTCTGAAAAGCCCAAGATACCTGTGATACCACACAACCTCATCCCACCGCGATTCCCCGGCTCGCGTCACCACCCCAGCCGGTCGTTCTCCGACCCCTTCTGCTCTGCGCACTCGAATGAAGAGCGGCCCGGCTTCGGGCTTCTAGCGATCCCTGCGCATCTCGCGGAAGTGTATCCCTCCCGGTCCCACTCGTCCGCTGCGATCAGGAAGGTGGCAACCCCGAGCCCCGGGGTCGAGTCGCACACGCCTTCTCATGTGGTCCCTCGGCCTCCCCACATGCGCTCGCAGTCGGCAGCTGCGATATTCAACACGGTGGTCAAGCCAGGCGGACGACCACTGCCGCCGATTCCAGAGCCGTCGCTGCCGCAAAAGGAGCTGCCAGACATTCCGCGCCCATCGCCATTGAACCGACCGCTCCCTCCGACGCCGTCAGACCGGGCGCCGAATCGCGCAGCGAAGCCGCTCCCACTGCCTCCGAAGGACCGTGTTGTCTTCATGAGGCCCATGGCTAGCGTGTGGTGAAAGCATAGTCGGCTCGAGCACCGACACGTCAACAAGTACACCATCGATAATTTGCTGGACAATCTCGGCTCAAGTTCGTTCTCGATAATCTCGTTGGATGCATCGTTCTGTACATCACTGCTACAATGGTTTGCTCATTACTTCGTTATTAACACCAGCCCGCACCGTTATTTCCACTGACCTTCCTGTACATGCATTGCTCAGTGTTCTGGAACACCATCAACGCCACCATCACCCACAGACTACTTCTGGATATCATTATCATTCAATCACGATCACCATACCCATCATATGATACCTCAATGGGTTGTAGATAGATTTTCAAATGCCACCGGTAGCTGACTGACTGCATGGTAATTGATCTGCGCTTTACTCAGCCGGAAGTGAGGGCTTCTTCGTCCACCAGCCGCCAATCTCCCTCCGCAATCTCCCTCCACTCGTGTGACTCCTGAGACCCGTAGTCTAAAACGGATACGCCGCCATCCCGGTTGTCGGGCGCGACCTCTTCGGGTCCCTCATTGTCATATCGCTCGATGACGACTCGCTGTTGGTCATCGTCGCCGACGACGCGTCCGACGCGGGTGAGCATCTCAGGCGTGCACGTCTGATAATTGAGACCGAGCTCCTGTGGGACCGCAACGTCATGTCAGCACACGAGACGTCAATGGATCTCGTGGGTGACTTGCCTTCCATGCGACCAACTTGCCTGCGGTAAGCTGGGAGCGCTCCTGAACCTTGGGCAGCGCATCCCATTTCTTGCTGATGGTATCTGCGTTAGGCAGATCGGAGCTAGGGCGCTCCGAGTGCTGTTGGTCCTTGTTGGACCTGATAGCGTTTACCGCTTCGTCCTCCTCCTCGGGCACATGTTCGTGATTGTACAGCGCTTGCCTCCTCTTCCGCCGCTTTCTGGACATTCCCTCCTCCACATCCACACTCGTCACGAACATATTAGAAGGCAATAGTCCTAGCTCCTGCTTCTCGGATGGAGGGACCAGGTGGGAATTGATCAAGGATGACTTGTATTGCTCGGTGTTGTCTGACGGCGGCGTCTGCTGTGCGTTCTCTTCGGTAGCGGGTGCATCTACAGTGCCGTCTTCTGTGGCAAACACAACCTTTGCCGGAATGCCTGCCGTCATGGCCTTTTTGAATCCCTTCTTTTTGTTCTTGTTCTGCAGGCTTGACATCATGAAGGTACGCGGGGCTACGTCCATCGAAGCATCGGCCAGTTCCGCTGGTTGCTGCGGGTTCTCGACAATGACAGGAGTGCCCGCGATTTCTGCTGTCTGCGCCCTGGTGCCGAGCGGGATGGAGTTTACAGAAGCAGGCTCGGCTGTGGTTGCGAGTCGCTCGTACATCCGCTTGCGTCGGCGACGGAGGTTGCGGCTGTGTGTGGTGGGCTTGCCAAGGCCAGGAGGCACATTCTCAGTCAAAGACGAACTGTCAGTAGGACATGAGATTCTGGCAACGCATATTGAGACACTGTAGGGCAAACGTACGTGCGCGCCTGACTTGGTCCCTCCTTATGAGATTGCGCAGACGTTGCGGGCGCCTGCATCTGCGCATTGCGCGTTGAGAGATGAAACGGTTCGGTGGATGGTGCAGAGCTCGCTGAAGATGATGATGAGGAGCTCTCAGACGATATAGATGAGTCCGTTTCCGAGTCTGATTCGGTGTCTGACTCGGACCCGGAGCTACTGGAGGACTCGGACCCGGAGCTACTGGAGGACTCCGGTCCAGAAGACTCGGACACCAGTCGTTTGACTGCTCGAGGCCTGGGAGATGCTGGTCGAGGTTTGGTAGGGAGGGACGCGCGTTTCGTCCGTTTTCGTGCAACACCAGGTGCTGGTCATTAAACATGAGTTTCGTACAGATGCAATGCAATGGATGGACACACAAGGTGAACGAGCTTTCCGCTTATGCGAACGAGTGGCCGGATTCCTCTTGATTCTGTTCAGCCCGGCTACTATGAGAGCTCTCACGGAACGGCGAACCATGAAGTGACGAGGCCACTTACACGACTAAGTCCCCATCCCTAACAACGTCAATCGGACTCGCGTCCAAGAGCTCAAAGTCGTCCAGCACGAGGGCGATGTCTTGCCCTTGAATGCCATCGTCTCGGAGCGCGTGCAGGTCGGCGCAGAGGACCGACTTGAGCTCGAGCACAGTCGTAGCGGAATGGGTGCTGAACCAGGCCTTGACTGGTGGCAAAGGAGGGGCACTTTCCACCTTGATGCGCATTCCGGGCCACCAGAGTCGGAGGGAGTGATAAATCCAGGAGCTTGTGGCGTGAAGCTCAAATATAATAGTACGGCGCCCGGAAATGGCAGAGTATTCCCACGGCACTGAACCGCAAAGGATCGGAGAGCGCTAGCGTGGCCACCTCACTCTCTGTCCTCCGTCGACGTGTCCTCCGCGCCCGCCGCCCCCGCTCGTCTCCTCGCCTCTCCTTACCTGCTCGTGCCCTCTGTATCAAGTATAATTCCAGTGCATCTGTCTATCTTGTGTGTATAGGCCGCCATGGCCAACTACAACTATGACGAGGCCGGCAACATGGCCGCATACTTTCTCCTCACCTGCCTCTCCATCATCCTGATTCCCATCACTCTCGCGTCTCTTTCACGATCGAGTACGCATCTGAAACTCTATGCTGACTGGCATGTGCTGAGACGCAACCCTGTAGAACCGCAAGTCAGAACAGGTTGCCAGTGCATCCAATGTGTCGAACGACGGGCGAGCATACGAAAGCGCGAACGAGGATCGTTCTTGAAACCGAAGATCACACGAAAGTGAGTGTATAGTACAGTCTCTTTCTCTCGTTACTTGCCTCATTCGTCTTGCAGAACTGTATTTCTTCTTCTTGGGTGGACCGTGGCAGGGTACCTGGCGTACAAGGCTGCCACGACAGAGGTGGAGAACAAGGTTTATGACCCCTTCGAGATACTTGGTCTGCGTAGTGTGTGTATTCTCATTATGGCCCTGTTGTTCCGAATTGTCCTAACATGCTTGCTGCCAGGGTGTCGACTTAAAGGCTATCAAGTCTCATTACAAGAAGTTGTCTCGGAAATTGTGAGTTGTCCGGTCTCTTGATACCGAACTTGTCATGATAATTCTTCCCCGTAGCCATCCAGACAAAGTGAAGCTAGGAATTAATGACACGATAGAGGCTGTTGAGGCCAAATTCGTGGAGATCACCAAAGCGTATAAGTCGTAAGTCCTTCGTTCTTGCTGACGTTGGGGAGACTGGGGCAAGCCCTTGCATAGGGCTCAAGGGATAATGCTTATATAACCATATAGATTAACGGACGAGACGATTCGCAAGAACTGGGAGCTGTACGGCCACCCAGATGGGCGGCAAGAGATCTCTATGGGTATCGCTCTGCCAAAGTGGATTGTCGAGAGTGGGAACAACATCTGGGTTCTTGGAGCATATGGGCTCATCTTTGGCATCGGATTGCCCTCCATGGTGGTACGTATTTATGCATCTTGGTGTACGCATTGCCAAGCGCTTAACATAACTCGCGGCCTCTGTGCAGGGCAAGTGGTGGTTTGGTAACCGGCAAAAGACGAAGGACGGTGTCAACGCTCGCAGTGCGGCTGCATTTTTCAAGAGTCTGACCGAAGATTCCGGCATCGACGAGGTCGTGGGGTCTCTTGGGAAAGCATTTGAGTGGGAACGGTCAAGCGCGAACACCGCCAAGCAAGAGGGCGAGCTGTTGGATCTCGAGAAGAAGATCAAGGGGAAGCTCGATGGCAAGTGGGATGAATTGAGGAAGTTGGCAGAGGTGATGCCTGGGGAGCATGAGAGTCGGCGCAGAGCGTTCATTCTGCTGTATGCACACCTCTTGCGACTTCCAGTGACTAGTTCGTCTTTACGTGCAGGTACGTCCCATCCGCACTTGAGGTAGCGCGGTACTCACTTTCACGCAGAACAGGCCGAGTTGCTGCTGCAGACACCAACTCTGCTTAACTCCATGCTCAACATCAGTATCTCGCGCAACTGGTTACAGCCCACACTTTCTGTGATGCGGCTGCACGCGTACCTCGCTCAAGCTCTGGTCCCTGGACAGAACAATCTCAAGCTTGCCCAGCTGCCTGGTGTCAGCCCGGCCGAGGCTGCGGAGCTCGCGCCGAAAGCAGGTGACATGGAGGATCTGATCAGCTCGCTCGAGAAGAACGGAGATGAGCGTGTCGAGGAGATCAAAAAGGCCACGGAGAAGTGGGGGAAGGTCGAGGTTCTTGATGCGTCGCTGAAGGTCTTCGGAGAACGGTTCATCACCCCTTCAGCGTTCATTTCGTTTCTCCTGAAGGTGCGCTTATCGCCTCCGACGGCACAGAAAAGCGCGAATGGTACCGCGCCTGACCGGAAGGCGGAGGAAGCAAGGGAGAACGAGTTCCTGGCGAGTAAGAAGGATACAGAGGAACTTCCTGATGGTCAAGCGAGTATCAGTTGGGCACATGCGCCCTACTGGCCTGCAGTGAGTATCTATGTGAATGTGCGTCTTTGAGCAGGCCTGATTATGTATACCAGAATCGTCGACCGGGATGGTGGGCAGTGCTCGCGGATGTCAGGTCTAACAAGCTGGCTGTCCCACCCATTAAGATTGCGGACATTCCGGTCGGCCCGCAGTATCGTTTCTACAAGCAGCAATTCCAAGGGCCGCAGACCCCGGGATTGTTCCACTGGAGGATGTACCTGATTAGTGACACGTTCGTGGGCGAGGAGGTCTCGAGGGACATCATGGTTTGTCACTGGATTGTTTGTCTATCGTCGGCCTGACTGACGAACTGTGTGACCGATACAGTGGAAGGTGGACGACGCGTCGGTGTTGAACTCTGAAGACATCACAGCGGAGGACGACATCTCAGATCCCGAGGAGGACTCCTTGGCAGGGCAGATGGCGCTGATGCGGGGTGGGTCGGTGAAGAAGCGGCAGGACGAGGAGAGTGACGATGAGAGCTCGACAGACGATGACCGCCCGAATGAGCCTGAGAGCAGTAGTGATAGTGATTGAAATTCTAATGACATTGTGGGCTGTTCAATTGGAAGCGTCAAGTGCCTGATCATATCGCGGGCGGCAATCGACTTGGGCCACCGCGCGTGCTCGACGTGTGGCTGGCAATTCTTTTTGAATGTCTGAATCCCGCTCATTCCCCTTTACCGAGCCGTCTCTTGTCCGACTCCTCGTCTTGGCCTCTTTTCTGTACCTGCTGAACGTCGTCCGTATCTTAGGCGATTACCTACTGTATGCTGGCCTCATAGCAGAACTTGGCTTGGGCATTGTCTATGGCTCCCCTCTTGCAAACATCCTGTCGTATGAATGGGAGACGACGTTCAACATCTTAGGATACTTAGGACTGCTTCTTATCGTGTTTGAAGGTTTGTGAATATGTCCTTGCATAATGTGGCGTACTTTTGCAACACCGGGATCGTTCCGTGTGTATTATGCTCAAGAAATCAGTAACTGTAGACGAGACTTATCATCGGTTGCACTACTAGGTGGCCTCTCGACCAACCTCCCATTACTCGTGTCCAACCTGTTCCTCTCGTGCCTGTGCGCGTTGACAGGTATCGGTCTCCCCATTGCTCTCTCCTTCGCCCTCCTTCCCACTGCCTACGGATATACGCCGCTGGAAGCATTCGCTGCCGGTGCTGCGCTATCTTCGACTAGCCTCGGCACTACCTTGGCAGCTTTGAACAGTGTGAGCAAGAGAGGCAGTCCCCCCGCTCCACATGACGCCCTTCGAAAGAAAACTGCTTCTCAAGTAGAGGACACAATAGAAGTTGTTGAGCTAGGTACGCCCTGTCCACCCTATCCCAAGAACATTCTTATGTACTGCAGATTGTGGGGAGCAGTGTTCCGTCGCAGACCTCTCCAGCTCTCCTGCGCCGTCCTCGACGCCCCTCCACCGGACACGTATAGGTACAGTGCTCATCAGCGCTGCGATTATAGATGACGTTGTTGGCTTGGTCATCGCGGCACTCATGCCTGCGCTCACCGTCCTGAGCACATCCGGTTCATCCACACAGTCGTCTCACTTAGCCTGGTCGGTTATTCGGCCTCTGCTGTCTTCCCTGCTTATAGCGACCATCACGCCTCTTGCTGCGCGCTTTATCCTTCGTCCCGCATTCTGGTTCTGTGGCATCGGCGAAAGATGGTGTGCTCCGCGGCGTGAAGGTAAAGGTTGGGGTTGGGTTCCGGGATTCCTCCGGAATGAGAAGAAGGACGGCCTGGGACTGAGTGACTGGGGCACGGAAGCACATGCGGACACAGTGAAGTTAGCTATCATGGTCGGTGTCCTCAGCGCATTTGCAGCGATTGCATACTGTAAGTCGCACATTGCATAAAAAATACGGTGTCCCTCTTGTGTCAAACTCATCTGGATGTGTACCCCTCAGATACAGGAAGCAGTATGTTGTTCGGGGCATACGTTGCCGGGCTGACGTTGTCGTACATCGCTCGACCGCCTGAAGGTGCGGAGGGTCACACGGAGCGGACAGAAGCATTATCGTTCGAAGCCGTGTTCTCGCGCATGATCAGTCCCTTACAAGAGCACATGTTTGCTCCGCTATTCTTTGCGAGCATCGGTTATGCAATTGTGAGTGTTTTCTTTTGTGTGGAAAATGATCAGACGTTAATTTGCCACAACTTGGCACGCCTGCCAGCCCTTTCTTTCTCTATGGGACCCGACTGTCCTCTGGCGCGGAGTAATGTTCGCCGTGGTTATGTTCCTCTGCAAGTTCGCGGTCGGGTTGCCCATCATGCTATGGACGATCTGCACCGGCAGGGATCAAGTCGGGAAGCAATCCCCTCCCCATCCTGCGCACCCCCGTGCGCCTGAGTGCCGAACCTCTCTCCGCACCGCGGTCCTCGCGTCGCTCTACCCTGCGGCGTTCTTCGGCTTCGCGATGGTCTCGCGCGGGGAGATCGGCCTGCTGATCGCGCAGATCGCAAGGCAGGGGAACGGCGATGGCGAGGCGCTGCTCGGGGAAGAGGCATTCTTGGTGTGCATTTGGGCGATCCTGTTGTGCACGATTGTGGGTCCGATTAGCGTCGGGCTTGTGGTACGAAAGTGGAGGACGAGAGTAGTCGCCGGGATCTGGTCTTAATGATTATTACATGCTCGACTCCTCAGAGGAGCTTCTACATGGTGTTGGTATTGTATAGTCTGTACTCATGTTGTATACAGTCAACCCATACAACCAATATATGCACATTGGCTGTACTGTGTTGACTCTATCTGGCCATCGCGTTCAATAAAGCAAGCATCGTGCTATAGCAGCATCCTCCCCGCCCACCTCGGCATCGCGATACACTCTCGTACATTATCAATCCCGCCCATCCAGCTAATCAACCGCTCGAATCCCATACCGAACCCACCATGCGGCGCCCCTCCAAACTTCCTCAAATCCACATACCAATCATAATCCTCCCTCGACAGTTTATGGTGATCCAGCGCACGTTCGAGGAGATCCAACCGCTCCTCGCGGAGAGATCCCCCGACCAGCTCGCCCAAATGTGGGATGAGTAGGTCGAAACACGCTACGGTCTGGCCGTCATCGTTCGCGCGCATGTAGAACGGCTTGAGCTCCGCAGGATAGTCCGTCACAAACACGGGACCGCGCACGACCTCCTCTGCGAGCCAGCGTTCGTGCTCGCTCTGTAGCGCCTTGCCCAACGCAGGCTCAAACACGAACGTGCGCGCAGCGGCGTGGTGCGCCTCCAGCTCCTTCACCGCGTCCGTGTAGCTGATGCGGGCCCATACGCTTTCTTGTGCGCTATCAAGCTCGTTCAGGAGCTCCTTCCGCTCGCTGTGCTTCGCGAGAGCTTCACACGCGCCACGGCAGTCCGCGAGCGTGGTGCGCACGGCAGCCTCGACGAGCGCACAGATATCATCGACGGTACGCGTGAACGCCCACTCGGCCTCGAGCATCCAGAACTCGGCGAGGTGCCGGTTGGTCTGGGAGCGCTCTGCGCGGAAGCAGGGAGAGAGGGTGTACACGCGCGAGAGCGACGCGGCGAGCGCCTCGAGGTGCAGCTGAGAGGAGACGGTCAGGTATGCGGGGTGGCCGAAGAACTCGGGCTGAACATGCGAGGGTGAGGAGGAGGTGAGGGGAGAGGAGGTGGGCGCGATGCGGAAGGTCTCTCCTGCGCCTTCGCAGTCGTTCGAGGTGAGGATGGGCGTGTGTACGTTGGTGAAGCCGTGCGTCTGCGCTGTGTCAGAAACGTGCGGGCATGAGAGAGATAGAGGAGTGCTACCTCGAAAAATTGGTGCAAAGAGCGCGATGCAGAGTCTCGTAGCCGGAGCATGGACGCGATAGCATCTGTACGGGCGCGGAAGTGGCAGTGGTCGCGCAGGTACTCCACCGTCAAGGCTTTCTTTTGAATGGGATATGTCTGTTTCGGCGCGTTGATCAGCAGGAATAAGTGAAAGAAAGCAGCCGTGCGCACCGCTGAGTCGCAGTCGCCTACGACCTCGACGGAGCTGACCTGCAGCTCCTTGTCCTGCCCGCGCCCTGGGCTGTCTGAGATTGTGCCGCCTAGGCGCACGCTCACTCCGTTTGTTAGACTGTTAATTTAATGGTGTACATCACTCGTGGGCTCTGTGGGAGACGGAAAATTGCAGTACGTACGCTTTGGCTTGGGTAACATCAGGAAAGACAGCCTGTAGTCCTTGCTCTAAACTCCCGTCGGTAATCACTGCAAAGGCGATGTTCTTTTGTTTTCGAATTGACTTGACCCAACCAGACACTTCCACGGACGACCCAGAAGGAATTTGGGACGAAAGAAGCTGCCGGACGGTGGGAGGCAGCGAGAAGGTGGGCCTTAGCCGAGGCAGAACCATCTCATTCAGTTCAACTGACGAAATGCGCGTTGACCTCGGTCTATCGTTCGTGTTTTGGATACGTTCTGCGACCTCGCCGGAGGACAAACCAGTGTATCGTGTCGAGAAGATTGAAAAATGCGACAAAGCTCTCAAGAGCTCCGTGGTTCACATGAGAGCATTGCGATGTACAGACCAAAAACAACAGCAGTAGAAGGACGTATGATACACTAGCAGGGGGCGACGCTCCCTCTTTTGCGTGGGCGAACACGCGCTCCAAGCACATGAAAGTGAACGGATATCCACCCCATCCACGCCACGATCAGAAGCCCCGTCCTCTTCCCCGTCCCCGTCCTCGGACACGCCCACGGTCCACGCCGCCTCTTCCGCGCCCGCGGCCCCTTGCCTCGTCCTTTTTCCTGTTCTTAGGTTTCGGCGCGTCATCGACCAGCAGAGTGTCTAGGGGGAGGGCGTCGGGAAGGACGAAGTAGCGAATGTTGTTGCCGCGGATGGACAGCGAGTCGAGGGAGGTCGGTTCGCGGTTGCGTGCCGTCATCTTGACGGTCTTGAGGTGCGTGTTCATCTGCATGTCGACACCTAACAGCACACGAAGTCAGTGCACCTCCTGCAGAGATCGCACACTCTCATACCAGTGATCGTCCCGTGCACGACAGAACCATTCTTGAGCTCGATGGTGACCGTCTCATTGTTCAATTTCATCAAAAACCTGGTACCAAGGATGTCATTTCAATATTTAGCCCTCGACACAACCTCAGCATTTAAATCCCACTGCGTGACTCACCGTACGAGCTTCATGGTACCTGCTTTTGTGGAGGGGTATGAGCACTGTTGGTGGCACTGGCAGCAATGAATTGGCGACTGCCAAAAGAGGTAGTAGGTGGTCATGTGACCAAATCAGAGGGCTACGGGGCAATCCGGGGGAAATTAATTCGAGTCGAAATTGCGGTGCCGGAGGTATGGGGTGAGCTCTGCGGCAACTTGGCTGCTCGTTAATTCTCTCTGCGCGACTGCCACTACCTTTGCTTTACACCACGACAGCCACGGTCCCATCCTGGCTGCTCTCTTGCCGGTGCTGCGTCCCTCCTTGGCGCCTCGCCATTTCTGAGGCCCTTTGCACCCCGGGTTAACGATGCTGCCAAAGGTAGCAAATTCCCTTCTGCACCATACTAGCCGTGCCGTCGCCGCAGCCCAGAATCAGACCGGACACACTATCAGGAATGTCCTCCAGCTCCAGTCTTCGACCAACTCCCCCACCGCTGGCGGAAACCTAGGCGGGTGGAATGGAGCGTCATCCTCGAATTCGGGCTGGAACAGCCATGGAACGGGTTCTGGAGGCGCCAAGTATCACGCTGGCAGTCGTCCATACACCGGCTACACGGTGAGTGATATATGCTGATTAATTCTTATCTGCCTTTTGCCGCTGCCATTCTGCCTTGGTCTACCATCGCCGTGGCAGGAATTGATAGCAATCCTCAGCTTACCTCGTCGTCTGTCAGGGAGTTGGTCGCGTAATCACGCAAGCCGAGCCGATCTCTACAAACGATAATGGGCAGAGTCGCAGCGATGATCAGGAGGAAGGTCCGTCTGCCTCTTTCAAGCCTTCTCCGCGAAGAAAGAGCACCTCGCTCGTCCTTCAAGAGCACCGCGCCAAGAAATTAGCCGTGTTGCGGACCGTTTACCCTCACTCTCGTTCCCGGCAGTTATTCACGGATCGCGCTGTTGGTACATCAACGCTGTCCAGCCAGGCAACGGCACTTCTGCTCCCCAAACCATCCTCATATCAACTGTCTGTCCGCTATGAATCTACGGCATCCATTCCAGCCGAACTTAGCGAATATCTGGATCTGCAGACGCCTCCGCCATCTCCCCCTCATTCGTCCTCGGTCTCTGCAGTTGCTGTGGACTTGACGGTCACGGGTCTGCCGACACCTCCACCTGAAGTCAGGGAGGAGGAGACGTCAGAGGCGGATCAGGCACTCTCAGAAATCTTCGTCCAGTCTCAAAAAGAGCGTTGGAGCACATCGCTTGTTCAGCAAGAAGTCCGTAAGCTAAGTGAACGCGTCCCGGCTCCGCCTACTGCTGTATACAATGCTGCACTGTACGCCCTGCATATTGCCCGAAAGCCTGGAGAGTCCTTGCAAGGCATATTGGACGTCTACAATGAAATGTTGGCGCGGTCGGTTCTTCCCAACTTCAGGACGTATACGACGCTCATCTTCGCGCTCACTGACCGTGACCATGAGATCTGGAAAGCCATCCAGGGCATCGAGATCCGCATGCGATCGCGCGCAGCGTTCGGTGCTCGCCATTCCCCGGCGCAGATAGCGGACGAGGAGCGCATCGCGGGCCTGCGTGCGGAGAATAACTTCCGATCTGCAATGACGCTCTTCCAGACGGCATGTTCGATTACGAAGGCAAAGTTACCGTACCATGTGTACGGGCAGCTACTCGAGTCGTGCGCGTACCACAGTAATGTTGACGCCGCAATTCACGTTTTTGGGCACCTTGAGCGGCGGAGCGACGTCCAGCCCACGGCAGACATCTTCTATCATCTTCTCTCCGTTTATGCAAACGTCGGCGACATACAAGGTGCGAAGGACATCTTCGACGAATTCAGAGATGCGTGCAAGACCGGCCGCATCGATACATCTTCGCTGGAGAGCGGGGTCGACGGCATGCCGGATATGGCAAAGGCCTTCAGCGAGCGTGCGGGCCGGATCGCGGTGTGGAATACGATGATCAAGACGTACATCTTGGGCGGACAGCACACGGCGGCCCTTGGTCTTCTGGAACAGATGCTCGATTCGCAGGCAGGAGAGGCGCTCAACGTCGCAGATATCCCCCCACCTGCTTCGTCCACGTTCTTTCGGGTTATCTCTGCCTTCTGTACGGTTGGAGAGGTGGACACGGCGCTATCATGGTTTAACAAGCTTTTGGAACAGAACACCAGCCCTCGTCACCCGTACGAGCCCTCAACGACACCCAGCCGGCCGGACTTCAGGGCATGGCAGGCAATGCTGGAGGCACTGGCTTACAACGGCCGGGTGCAGGATATGAACCGGCTTCTTGGACGCTTTTTTGAGCTCACGCCAGTTGATAACTTCGCTTTGTTGGAGGGCGAGCGCAGCACGATGGTTCAAGCAAATCTATATTACTTGTTGACTCACCCGGAACTGGATAAGGAGGAGGCCGTCTCGCTTCTGGACTTTGTGGTCGACACCATTGTCAATCAGTACCTCGTCGTCCTGAATTCTCTCCTGGAGAGCGATCCCTCAATCTCCCTGGCTACCATAATCGCGAGAAAATACTTGGAGTATGAGCAGGTCGACAAAGCGATTCAATTTGCCGAACGGTTCGTCGAGTTCGAGATTGGCAAGGGACGGGAGCAAGCGGATGTTGGGAACAGTGAATCAAAGGGCGCTCTGTATAGGATGCAGTCCGCTCGGCTATTCGTGAAACGCTTCATAATGGACCTGTTCCCAAAACATTCACATGCGGTCTCGCTCAAGCAGGCGTTGGAGCTCTGCCTCGTATCTGATGCAATAAGCGCGCTCCACTATGCTCCGGCTCGCCAACACTGCCTCCAAGCGTATGCGGCGTCCAGGGTCGCTGCGCGCTCTGACTTGACTTTGACGGAATGGCGTGTGCTACTTTGGTTCGCTCTCGCGGCTAAGCCTGAGGAGATGCAGGGTATCCCGTTGTTGACTATCCTCGACGACATGCTCCAGCAAGGCCATAAGATGTCAGATCTCGAGAACCGGCAGCAGCTCCGCATCGTTCATGATTTGCTCGAGACCAACAAGCCTGTTGAGATCCAGCAACGCTTGGGTTACACCGAAAACCAATTGCAAACTATCCTCAATTCAATCAGCAACTTTAGCCCGAGAGTCAATGCGGAACCACAATTGTCAGAGGACTTCACGCCGGCCGAGGATTCCTTTGCACACGTGCGTATCGACGTTGGGCACAGCAAGTTCGTAGACGAATTCTTCCCTTTCAACGCGCACGTTTCGCCCCTGCAGGCGTATGTGCGCTACGAGATGGGCACAAAGGCAGGAGTTTATCCGCGACCCGAGGTGATGGCCCGCCTCATCAGCGCGCTCGGGCGGCAAGGTGAGATGGAGAAGATGCAAAGAATATACCGCGACGCGCAGATGGTGCTGGCATCCATGGAGGAGACCAAGCAGTGGCAGTCACTTGGATGGTTCCTTATCGAGGACCACATGGTCATTGGGCTCGCGCATTCAGGCGACATCGACGCGGCGCACGTGCACCGGATGCGCATTCTCGAGCAGGGTGGGACGCCGTCCCCAGACGCATACGGCGCACTGATCCATAATGTTAAGGACACGACGGATGACGCAGAGAACGCGACGGCACTATTCCAGGAGGCTCTCTCGCGTGGCGTGCAGCCGAATATTTTCCTGTACAACACTATCATTTCGAAGCTGGCGAAGGCGAGGAGGGCGGACAACGCGATTGCGCTGTTCCAGGAGATGAAGGCGAAGCAGGTGTGGCCAACGTCGGTGACGTATGGCGCGGTGATCGCTGCGTGTTGTCGAGTGGGCGACGCCACTTCGGCGGAGACGCTATTTGCGGAAATGGTTCAGATGCGGAACTTTAGGCCTAGGGTGCCACCATACAACACGATGATGCAGCTTTACACGCACACCAAGCCCGATCGCGCTCGCGTCCTTGCCTTTTACAAAGCCATGCTCGACGCCCATGTCACCCCCACCGCGCATACGTACAAGGTTCGCACCTTTCCGCATACAGTGACTGCTCAAACTGACGTGATACCCCTCAGCTCTTGATGGATGCATACGGCACAATTGAGCCAGTCGATGCCCAGGCAATGGAAGATGTGTTCGAAATCGTCGTCTCCGGACCTAAGCCTCTCGTACAGGGCACGCATTGGGCATCGCTGATCAACTCTTATGGCTGTGTACAAAAAAACCTTGACCGCGCGCTCGCGGTATTCGACTCAATCGCGAACCATCCTTCCACAAAACGCACAGGCGCGGTGCTGCCTGACGCAGTCGTGTTTGAGGCGCTCATCAATGTCCTGGTGACACTCCGCCGCACGGACCTCTTACCTACCTACATCGAACGCCTCACGTCGAACGGGATCCATATGACTGCGTATATTGCTAATTTGCTGATCAGGGGATATGCGTCTGTTGGGGACATCGCTCGTGCAAGGGATATCTTTGAGAACTTGGCCGACCCTCCGGAAGGTGTTGCAGCGCCTCATAATCATGCTCCTCATGATAGCGAAGCCACCGTTACTGAAAATGTACCCGTCAGCGCCCCGGTATATCGCGAGGTGAATAGTGCTGTCATTTGACGAAGTATCAGTGTCTGATTTGTTATATTGACAGCCTTCAACATGGGAAACCATGGTTCGCGCGGAGCTAGGCAATGGCAATCGCGATCACGCTGTCGCGCTCCTAGAAAGAGCACAAGCTAGGTCTGTCTCCATCAACATTCAACGAAGCTCTCTCATTCGTTGACACTGCGTGCTGCATAGAAAATTCCCGCAAGCGGTGTACAACCGCATCAGCGGAATCATGCTCGACGAATCGGTGTCTCCTTGGGCCACTGCTTGAGTTAACGTCCCACCTCCTTCCTAGGTCCGGCTCCTTGGTGCATCGGTGCTGCTTTACACCCATATATTACTGTATTCTCAATCTGTATGTAGATTATCGTCTCACGTAACGCCGGTTTGCATGAGTAACAAGCAACAAGTAACGCGCATGTGCATGTTTATGATTGGACTGAATATTACATCAGGACTCGCTGAATTCCCCGGTGTTGTGCGCATTGGCGTAATAAATCGTATTCAATGTTGTTCTAGTCTGTTGCATTCTAGTAGTCGAGCGGTATGTGTCGGCAAAGAGAGGGAGGGACTATAACGTCGCTTGCCGTATCAAGGGCGTTAAACGATGCGATGTGAAGCTCCCATGATGATGCTGGTGCGGTCTGGCCATAGGTCAAGGCGGAATGGCTAAGACGTACTGTGCGAGAGATGATGCAGCCGACACCAGACATGCACACCGTCGCACCTGTTAATCGAATGATCTGTGTTCTTCCACTCCGCACTCACTTGGAACTTGAAGCTTGAAGCTTGAAGCTTGAAGAGGCAACCACTATCCACTAGCCATGCGACAAGACACTGTCACTGCCATGCCGATAGCGCTTTCTGATATGCTCTCATACATTGTCATGGCTTCTATTTTTTGAGCATGGACAGACACTGGTAAATTGTCAAGCATCGCTTTCGTTCACGCTTCACCACTGCAAAAGGAGCTACCTTCAGCGCGTTAATGTCGCACATTCCAAAACAGAGCAAATGGCTGAATTACCTCGTGTGCCATATGCAGGAGTAGATATATATATATGTACATACAGGATATCAATCAAGCCTATCGGATTTGCGAGCGTTGTAGTAGTCGCGCGGCTCCGCGTCGATGAAGAGGCGCTTGAGAAGGAAGATGACGAAGATGACGCCGGAGAGGAAGAAGAAGGCGGTGCGCCACGGATAGGTCGTGACGAAGGCCTGGATAGAGGTAAGCTTTCCATTGAGGTACTGAAAACACTCGTCAGCTTGTTTGGGAGGCCGCCGCTGAGGATAGAAACGCACACGAGCCATTCGCTCCACGATGTTCGCGGAATGCTTGTATGGTATCGTCGCGTTCCGTGCGCCTGTGATCGCAGAGAAGACACTTGTCGGCGTGAGCTGGATGCGCTCGCCGAGCTGGTCAGCATCGTAGTACACGAGACGCTGTCAATCGCGGTCAGTCCATCACCTCGAACGTCCTCCTAGCAAATCGGCGCTCACCGAGTGATTAGCCAGCACCACGGTCGGTTCCGTGACTGCCGTCATCCCATACATGCTCTTGAGCCAGGTCTCCCATTTATCCGCGTCCATCCACACAAACGTTATGCCGGCGTCACCGCCCGCGGCACGCCACTGGCGCGCAAGGCTGCGCACGTTCGCAGCTGTAGCATCCAGTTGAGTTTTGGGCGCGGCAGCGATCACGACGAGCGGGTGATGCGGCGCGTTCATGACTTCCTGGAATGTGTCCGAGTCAAGCTCGAGAGATGCTGGGATGCGGTTTCGGAGAAGCTGTGGACGAAGAGTGGGTTAGCGCCAGCAGAAGGGGAGGACGGGGACATACCCAATCCACGAGCCCATCCTTTGCCGTGGCCTGCGCATCGGACGACAGGGTGTACGTCGCAACGGGTGCGGAGTCGTGATCTTTCAGCGCAAGAAGGACCGCTGCATCTTGGGGGACAGAGAATTGCTCGAACAGCTGTAGCGAGGTCGATATGTACAACGGGGGCGAGCCGAAGAGCACCTGCGCTGCGTCCAGCACATCCGTCTGCAGGTTCCATATATGCGCTCAGGATGGATAATCGGATGAAGTAGGAGCAAAAGAACCTACCCTGCTCTGTGTGTCCGAGGGAGTATGGAGAAAGAGGTAGAGCACGGGCTCACTGGCGAGCGTGTCCGCGAAGTCCTCATACCTAATCTCCTTTACCGGTCTGTAGATCAAATTGCACGCATCAGCATTGGAAGGGCGCGTTCAAACTGCAAAGAATGACCCACGGGCCCGACACTTTCTCCGCAAACGCCTTCAGTTGCTCGAGCTTGCGCCCGGAGTTGTACTCGGTGCGCCCGGCGCCCTGCCCGCCATAGTAGATGAGCGTAGGGAATCCCTTTACGCCTTCTGCGCTGCAGAGTGCGGCGTGCTCATCACAGTTGACTTCGGCTATCGCCAGCTTGTGCTGCATCACACCCGCGAGCTGCGTCCACGTCGGCGCAAGCTTCTTGCAATGGCCGCACCTGAAGTACATGAGCATGTAGAAGGACAGAGCACGGTGCACGCCTGAGGACATACCACGGTGCGAAGAACTTGACGAAGAGATGTCCCTCGTCCGCGGCGCTGCGGAAGGTCTCGTCGCTCAGGGACAGCACGGCACCCTTCGGGTTATAATCTTTCGCGGGAACTTTGAATCGCGAATCATCACGGTATTCGGGTGGTGCGTTTACCTGCAGCGCTGGCGCTGGCACGGGTGCGGGAGTAGGCTCCAAAGTAGGCTCGACAACGGCGGTGGGAGTAGGGACGGTGGTGGGCTCCGCGTGCTTGGCGAGGTATTCGGTGAGAAACTCAAACGTGCGTGCCTGCTTGTAGGCCTCGACGAAGTCACCGTCGCGGTAAAGGTTCATCTGGGGGTAGCCGTCCACGCGATTCTGCCTGCATAAATCTGCGAGGGGTAGGTATGAGTTACGTGTGAACGTATGATAATAGAGCGCTGATGCCTACCGCCATGGACGGCGCAGTTCACCTGAGTGAGGTGTATGCCTGGGTCGGACTGGTTCTGATTTGCCTCGACGAGCTGCCTCCATGTTGGGGAAAAGTTGCGGCAGTGACCGCAGTAAGGGGAGAAGTGCTCGACGAGCCTGCAGCGGCGATGTTAGCTAGGCCAGTAGCAGTATGCATGCGTCGCACCAGACACCATGCGCAATAGTATCCTGGAAGTTGTCAGGCGTGAGCGCCCCGGGCAGCTCGACCGAGTCGACAGGCAGGGATGCTGCACCGAGGGCGAGCGCTGCGACGAGCAACGCCGACGGCAACTGCATGTAATTGGAAACCTTCATCCGCGAATGCACTTCAAATATTTCCAGTCCGTAGAATAGAGAAATATAAGAGAGCGGAAGATGAATGCAGAGAACAAGACGAGGAGGTGATGGTGGCGAGTGAGCTTGGTCAGTGCCTCGGCCACAGCTTTGGCGGTACTCGCAGCCACCCAGAGTGATCTCCTCGGATCGACCATGCAGACCTTCCGCTATGCCTACTTCCCCGCCGACGTCTGCACCGTCCACGTCGCCCTCTTCGCCGACGTCGCCAATGCTGCTGCGGTCCGTGCGCGCATTATCCGTGCGAGCATCACGGAGGGGCAGGAGGGCGAGCACGAGCGTGAGGCGGTCAACTTTGCATTTGTCGATGCCCGCCTGGTGAGCGCGCACGCGGTCTTAATGAAGTGTATGCACGCTTAATTTTTTGAACGATCGTGTAGATTTCTAGTCCACTGCACCTGCAAACTGCCATAGTGCAAGCAATCCTTGCGCATGTACAGGGTACCCTCCGCACCAAGACTATTCACTCGGAGATCCTCTGGGCCCTCAGTCCCAACAACAACGTTCGTCCCATGCTGCCTACAGTCTTTCCCTTATTTCATCTGCTATGATGTCCATTCCGCTCACAGATTACCGAAGCCATCCGGCGGTTTGGTGTATCTGATAGCACGACCGCACTCCTGGTCATCCGCATTGCGTCACCAGAGTTCGCACCTGAGCGCGTGCTTACAAGCATGCAGGCCGTCGTGTCAGGCAGTCTTGTTTCCATTACCAGATTGCGAGAAATAACGGACTGGACGGCGATCAAGAAGGTACTCATGTGCTGTTATTACCGGCCACATCGCACCTATCTTATCTTGGTTTGTAGTATTATAGGGTGGACGCCGATCCTGCCATCAAGGTGCAGGGCATGGATTCTGAGAAGGAACGCGCGGTCGTGAACGAAATCGTCGTGAGCGCTGTTGCGATGAAGAGCGTCATGTCCTAGCGGGGCATCGAGCCCGTATCTAGCCAGTTTCTCTGAGTATCAAAACCACACGCAGAATGGGCACCATGCGACCTACCAGTCAACAGCTGATGTCATCTCCTTGCACGCAGGATTGCACAGCTGTTGAATTCGGCGGGCAGAATGCGGCTGCATGACTGATGGTCTGGCAGACGAGTTTCCGACCATACGTCCAGTGACTAGGTCCTATTAGACTTCAAGCACGCTCAATGTTATTATGCAAGGTCAGATGTAGTGTAGCGTGTATCGATCACCCGACGACGAGTATATCCAACAATTGTATTGTACTGCTTCTATCCGGTAGATTTAAGCCCTACGTTGAATATCTATGCTGCAGTCTAAATGCTGTGCATGGGAGCTCTATGTGGTATCCACAAACACCTAATTCTTAAATACCTTCGCCGACGAGGTCGGCCGGTCGTCGCCCTCCTTCACCACTCTCGTTACAGGCACAACCCACGCCTCGCCCTCCACATCCTCCTCCTCCTCCACCGCAAACGTATACTCTCGCACCTCGACATTCGCCCACGGGTGGTGCGATTTGTGTCCCTCTGTGATGTAGCGGAGGCAGTCGCCGTGTGAGACGACGACGATCTCGCGCTCGGGGAGCGAACGGAGATACTGCCGCACCCAGCGCGCGCGGGCCTTGAGCGCCGAATTCGAGGCGGCGTAGAACTCTGATTTGGATGTCCAGGAGGGATCGAGGTGGTGAAAAGAGAGACCCGCATATTCGGGGACGGACTCCAAGGCTTCGCGGGGCTGACATGACATTAATGATCTGAAAGCAACATTTGAAAGAGGATAGGACGTACAGAGCCTATATCGCACGGCAGATTATTACACTAGCACCCAATATATCAGCACTTCTCCTCACACCACAGTAACGCATTCTTCCTGTCATTCGAGCTCGTCTTTGCTATGCGCATATACTCACTTCTTGCAACTGTGGAAGCACGACGACCTGCTTGCCCTGCTGTTCGAGCTTCGTGCGAAGAGTCTCGTATCCGATCACGGTCGTCGAGAGCGTGCGTCGGAGCGGGCTCGTGACGAGCAGCTCGGCAGACTGCTGGATCGTGTGGTGCGTGTCGGCATGTAATTTGGCGGCTTGCTGGCGACCGAGCTCGGTGAGGAGTGCATCGTGAACTAGCAATCATGAAATATGAGAGAGTACAGGCTCCTTAGGCGACAATTTGACCGCACTCGTATAGTCCTCCGCAACACTGGCATCGCGATCAGTGAATATTATTTCCGAGATGATGACCCAAATGCTCACTTGTGCTCGGCCTGCGCATGACGAGTAAGATAGATTCGCTTTTCCGTGGCTTTCGCCATGTTCCTGACGGTGCGCGTGTACAACCGAATGATGGAAATTTGAGAAAATAAAAGTAAGAGGCAGAACGAGTTTGTCGGTGGCGCACGCCACCAGTTAAGTATACAGAGCCTGCCCGATCGGGCACATTGATCTGGATCGAGACGAAGATCTAATTTGGGATCTCGCTGCACCTGGACTGCTGCTCATTCGCCGACGCATGCGGGCGGATCGCTAACTTCACTCAAAAGCTACTCCTCCTTTTGGTTTTTGGGCCTGACGATGTCGGCGTTGCGTGCGGCGTTGGCGACCTCGAGCAGGACATCTTGCGCGTTGCGGTCCATCCGCCCGTCGCCTGTCAGTCTGCGCGCGTTCGCGTCGCCTCAAAGACAGCCTGCGGCACAGAAGAGACATTATTCGATTGGAGGACCATCGTTGAGCGAGCGGGATAGGGGCGCCGTAGGGGTGCGTCTCGTATAATATCTAAGTAAAGAAACCATCCGACCCCTCGTTTGCGAACAGGTCTTCACCCCGACCGCCGCCGCCATCTTCGTAGCTACTGGCATCGGACTCTACTTTTACTTCCGCTATGAGAAGCAAAAACTGCACGAGCGACGCCGTATGTCACCCCTTGCATTCTAATCCACATCGTAGACAAACTATGCGCCAGAGCAGGAACTGCAGGACAGACAAGTCGGCCGCCCGAAGGTCGGTGGGCCATTCAGCCTGATCACGCACGAGGGCAAGCCGTTCACGGACAAGGACCTGCTGGGAAAATGGAGCCTCATCTATTTCGGGTTCACAAACTGCCCTGACATCTGCCCTGAGGAGCTCGACAAGATGGGCGAGGCGGTATCCGAGCTCGGTGCGCTCTCCTACTTTCACACATCGCACGCACTGCTCACCCAGGCTCACATCCACATGCAGACAAGCTCTACGGGCCCATTGTACAGCCCATCTTCATCTCGGTCGACCCCGCGCGGGACACCGTACCGCAGGTCGCGCGCTACGTCTCCGAGTTTCACCCGCGCCTAGTCGGGCTCACGGGCGCCTATGACAACGTCAAGGCGGCGTGCAAGGCGTACCGCGTCTACTTCTCCACGCCGCCCGGCGTGACCGCTGAGGAAGACTACCTCGTCGACCACTCGATTTTCTTCTACTTCATGGATCCCGACGGGAGGTTTGTGGACGCGTTTGGAAAGACGAACACGGTCGAGGACGTCGTGGAGCGGGTGAAGAAGGAGGTTGGTCAGTGGGAGAAGGAGAGGGGGAGAAAGACATAAGGCGGGAGCTGTTGGAAGAAGTAATGGACGTCTTTGCACATACTTATAGTCTTGTATCATTACATGCTGTGCCGCACATCCCCACTCTGAAATGCATCTGTACCTTCCAGTCGCAACTGACCTGCGTCTGCTTGTCTGAATCCTGCACATCTGGGCGTGTTCAACGCAAGTAAATGAAATGACATGGACACGGAGAAAAGCCAAACGGTGACGGATACAAATTCACGATTCCTCCTCCCGTGCAGCTATCTTCTGTTTCGACAGCAGCTTCATCCGGCGAACATAGCTGTGGAACCACACACGTCAGAAACCAAGACTTCCACACGGATCCAAACGATCATACGCACTCCTCATATTGGCACCTGCCGCACGCATTAACAGCTTGAGCAACGTGTCCTTGGATGAGCATGGCGAGACTCACTTCTCATATGCATGCTTCTCGTGCTCGCACTCCCATGGCAGGTAGTACTTCTGCTTTCGGCATACATTCAGTGGAATGAGCAGCCTGCACGCGCGTTGATTGATCGTGAATCGCGTTCGAGCACGGAGGAGCTTGAGTTAGTATGAGCGTGATATCGCGAACAAGCAGGTCACGAACGCGGAGCAAGAGTCCCTCCACGCGAGGGGGATGCCAGCCTGCTTCATCTCCTCCTGCGAGGCCGTCGTCGAGGTCGCCATTACGGGAGGTGCTGAGTGTGATGAACGACGTGCGGGTACTGTGTATGATAGCGAGCGTCGAGCGATCGCTGCGGCAACTCCCGGTAGGGTGGCGCCTAGGTGGAGGAACGTGCAATTGATTCTTGAATACAAAGTGCGGCAGAAGAGTCCAGTAACTTGAGATGATGTATATACCTACTACGACATCGACAGCAGTGCAGGGTGCTGATGGAGAAAGAAAACAAACGAAGTTCGACAATACAGAAGGACAAGCCCAAGGGGCCCACCAGCCGAGCAGGCTACTTTTTGTCCTTTTCTTTCTCCTTGTCTTCCTGCATGCTCATCTCGATCGCCCGCGCAATCGCCTCCTCTTCTGACATCTCCTCGTCCTCCCCCGCGTGCGCTTGTGCATCTCCCATCTCCACGTCCTGCTCCTGCTCGTGCTCCTGCGACATCGCCAGCGCTTGCTTCAGCATCGCCTCCTCCTCCTCGTCCGTCGGCTCCGCAGCAGCCGGTGCAGCTGCAGCTGCAGCTGCTGGCGCTGGCACTGGTGCAGCTACAGCGGGCACGGTCAACGACTCTGCTGGCGGCGCAGGTGCCGCCACTGCCGTCTGAGCTGCGGCAGCCTGCCGCGCCTGCTCCTCCTCCATTGACATGCGCAATGCCTGTGCGCGATCAAATGAACGTTAGTAAGGCGGACAAGGGGGTTTTGCTGACAGCGTTAAGGGAAGGAAGACACACCATTGCCAATTCAGGGTCCAGGCTGGGGTCGACACCGAACTCGAAGTTGCCCGCGCCGCCTGCGCCCCCGCCAGACGCGATTTCAGCCATGGCCTCCTCCGGGATGCCGCGGTCGCCTGCGAGGATAGGCGAGTTGAGCACCATGTCCGAGAGGAGATGTGGGCCGGGCGGTATTGAGACGTAATGTCTACAAAGTTGCATGTCAGCGCTGCGGGAGCCGGAAATGGGCGCTGCAGGCAGTCACAGTCTACAACTCGGATGCACAATATCATCCTGCATGGGAAGTGGTACTTACGAGTTCTCTCCGCTCGTGCAGTTCTCGACGAACGTCTTGAGAATGCTCCGCTCGCCCTCCTCAATGCCGTCACCGAACACTATGAAGTCGACAGCGACATTGTTCTTCTTGAGCTTCTTCGCGAGGCGGGTCATGCCCTTCTCGTCGGCTCCCTGGCCCTCTAGTGGAGAGCCGACGAAGACGACGATACGCTGCCGGAGGTTCTTGTTCTGTCGATGCTTGAGCGCGAGCTGCGCGACTGCGATCGCGGTGGGGATGTCTGCAACGCCGCCGATCTTGTCTGCGGAGTCATGGAGTGCTTGCAGTATCTGTCCGATATCTTTGGAATGCGTGACGAGCACTTCTGGGCTGGGTTGATAGAATTAACGCGCGCAAGGGTGTCATTGAACACTACACGCACCCCTTGCCAGCCATTGTCATGACGCCAACAGTGTTCTCAGGATTGGAATCAATCTTGGTCTGGAAGATTGTGGTGACCGCGTCGGACTGGGCAGCAAAGCGTGATGGTTGATAGTCGCCATTGCGCATGTACTCGGAGTTGTCGATTATCATTAATGTTGCTTCGAGCGGCATTGTGGGCGACGACTTTGGAGACTCCGCGGACGATACTTTGGACTCTGGACGAGGACGCGGTCGGGCACTTCACGCTGACGCGTCTGAAGCACAGGCGCCCATAACGATTTGCACGTGACCCACATGGGCGCCTACTCGACTCGAGTGCAAAAGGTACCCAGAGATTCTGCTTCAGCGAATTAAAGAGGACGATATCTTGTTCGTTCCGGTCAGCGGATAAACTTCTTTCTCAGTATTCGTGCTTTGCGGCCATAGTCTTCGTGCAGGCATCGCCGGCCTCCTCTCGTTGGTCAGAATATTCTCCACTCCGTTGTAAAATCTGCTGCTCATATGAACCGTTGCAGCTTATGGACGCCTCGTCTACCGGCATTCTGCTTTGTCTCAGCGCCGCACCATCTCCGCATACTCCCTTGTACCGCCATGCCTCACGCCTACGTATCCTGACAAGCTCGCCGGCACGTCAGACTGATCCCATCGTTCGTGCATCTCATCTCGCGACTCGCAGAGTCGCATTAGGCAATGCGCGGGATCTTGTGCGGTTTGTGCTGTCTTTCAATGAAAGAGCTCCTTGATAGTGCAGGCAGATTATGACATTCTAAGAAACAGAACGGGGAGAATATCAGCGGCATCAGTTCGATGCTCAGGCTCAGCTCAAGACGACCGCGAACCGCAAGCGGCCCAGGCTCGATAGTATGAACGCAGGATGTTGATTGTTCTGCGGGAGACATCGGTGGCCAACGCACGTCTCGCCTCTGCTTACGGAACTGTTTTGAAGCATACGGATGCTGTGGTCAGTGAATTCGAGCGATCGGAAACGCATGCGGGATTGCGTGAGGAGTTCTATTGAGTGTTGCAATATGTAAGCCTTGCTATCGCGCCTTCGTCTGGATGTATCTGATATACCAAGTAGCTATCCGTTGGTGCATCGCTGCTCATAGTCGCCACCAGGTAGAATTCATAAGGCTCGCCGATGAGTGCGGAAGTCTAAGACAAGCATGTCGGTTGCTACTACCGCTATGACCTGGCGTGCAACAAGTGCTCATGCCGAACGACATATCCCCGTTCTTGTAGACCCTGAACGAATGATTAATCCGTGCGGCGCCTGAGGCGAGTCTTGTAAAGATTCCTTGTACTATTCTGCATCCCATAACCGCATATATGATAGGAATCCATCTTGCGCACTACAGGCTCGTCCTCAGCCTTCTTCCGCTCATGAGGAAATCATTTATGATCGTCACCCAAGATGGTCCGCTTGTCATATAAAGCTGCGAGATGCGCTGTATGGTGATGAGGATTGCCCAGTCCCTATTCAAAGCGGACATCGATAACGACGGAGACGGCTGGTGCGGTTCGGGTTCATCGAGTTGGTTTTCACCTTCGCGGCTGAGCTGGCCAAGCACCGGTTCACCGCCCTGTCGTATTCGTGCATCCACCGACGATCGATACGGACATACGAATGGCGTGATCGGAGTGGTACGCTGCAGTCAATAAGGTACCCGACATCCTCACGAAATACTGAGCAAGAGCACGCCTCAGGGGCCGGAGGCGAATACAGTCGAGGAGAACTGGAATGACTCCGAGGATGAATAATACTACTGGGAGTAATACGGGGTTCCACGCGAAGACAGAAACTTGCCAAGGATAGTAGTATTGCGGCGAACGTTTGGGATGTGTGCCAACCTGACGAACCTGCTTGGTGCAGAATCGCGAGAAAATGGAGGTTTCATCAAGAAATTTCCCGACGCTGACGATGCACTCTGGAAAACACAGTGAGACGGATTGCATAGTGTGCCCTTTTTCTGCACAACATACTACATGCATACTATGTACGTGTTCATCAACGATCTATGTTTGACTACGAGAATTAAAATCCTAGCGCAGCGATAGGCATGTAGACCCGAAGTGCTCGCATTACCATGAACAGTACATACGAGAACATAGAGGGGCATCAACACATAAGAAAGCCCGCGACAACGAATTACTACAGGAACCGGCTACCTACGGCCCTCATAAGCCAATCACGCCGAATGCAGGCCATGCGCACGACCTCTCCAGGAGCTTGGGCACGTTAGACGGGGAGCCCGCGCTGCTCGCCCTTCTCCTGCCGATGCTGGTATGATGCAGCGCGAGGTCATTCGTCGGTCCTCGTCCGCCGCCTGCTCCACCCCAAGGACCATGTCCTTCACTTTTCGAGACGCGCGGTCAGCCACATGTCGGGGGCACTGTGAAAGGAAGACTGAGCTCACCATTGCGCGTGAGCTCGGCCTCGCCGCGCACCGTTTCTCTTCCCCACGATGGAGCAATC